TGCAGAAAAAAAATGCACTGGACTGCATGTGGTATGAACTGGCCCTAAGGTTGACGAAAGAGAGGGAAAAAATGAACAGGAACGCGTCAAATGCGTATCAGAAACACGCATACAGAAACTCATCCGGGCTATGTTTCAACGTGTGAACCAGGTTACATCGGATTGAATGATATCGAGCAGGAGGGTGTGGACAGGGCCACCCACAAATTGAAATTGAGGCAGTTCATCAGGAATTGGATGAAACTCCAATAATGGCTAGCTTTAGCCTTGGTTCACACTGATGCGGTGTGGAATTCGCAGCGGTTTCTGTGCAAATTTCGCACCAAATCACAATCGCACCTCATTCATGCAAACCGCTGCGGGTATGTATGTTAAGCTAACAACACCCTGAAAGTGGTCCGTAAAACGCTGTGCAATGTGCAGAATCAGATCGCAAAGGTGTGAATACCCATGCGATCCGATTCTAGTGCAGACCCAAAAAAGAGTCCTGCACCTTTTGTTGTGGGTGCGGTATGATTAGAGCCATACATAATATATAGCTTCTATCGCACCGCACACAAATTGTATGTGAATGCGGTGCGGTTCCTGTGTGAATCACATGCGATATACCACACCGCATGTATGTGAACCCAGGCTGAATGATGTATTAGAATGTACAAGTATAAAGATTTTCAAACGTTTCACATTCTAAATCTTTGAGGAGAAAAACATGGAAAATATAAATTATAGAGATGCTTCAAACATAACTGTTGTTTGTGGTTTCATTAGTCATGCTGAATCTGTGGGAAAATATTCTCTCTGGTGGCAGCTTGTTGACAACAGAATGTTGATTTAAACTGCAGACTGTAAATAGCTAATTATCTGTACTTTGGTACCAGAAACACTGATGGGCTGCAGGGAGGATTGGCACTCATCATTTGAATGGCAATGAGATTTGTTCCTAATGATGGAGAAGCTAAAGAGAAATTCAGTGGGCAGCACACAGATTATAAGGAAAAAAAAAGTCAGATTCTGGAATATTCTTCAACACTCTAAATCCTGGAAGTGTTTTATATATGAAAACGTTGGTTCTTAAAATGCAGATTGGATTCCACTTCCCTAAAATAAAATATAAAGGAGACAGTAACCATTTTACTAAGTGACTCTACAAACTGGATTGATGTACATGAATGCACAACTGGGCAGCTGAAAGTCTGTAGAGGAGAGGGGGTAGGATGGGAACCCCAGGGAAAACAACAGATTTTAACTGACAAAATCCAACTAATAATAATAATTCCAATCAGGAGGTGATGTGAAAAATTCCAGATTTCAGTCTGCATTCACACACATTTCAGGCTTGGGTTTGGAGACAAATCTTAAAAATACCATAGAAAAAAAAAACCCTTCAAACAGAATCTTCAAAAATAAATCAAATCAATGATGAACCCCTATTTTTTATCTATATAAATAAAGAATTTGTTCCACAGTATTATCAAATAGTAAAAAAAACAATATTTTATTAAATTGTAAAAATAAATTTTATGTAAGACAAAATAATTTTGAAAACACTGAAATACTGAAAAAAATATTCTCCCTCAGTAGGTGCAGCCTTGTGTGATTTATTGTAGCAAAATTTATCTATACTGGCTCTTTAACTACTTGAGCTCCTGAGGATTTACCCCCTTAATGACCAGGCCTCTTTTTGCTACTCGGCGCTGCACTAATTCAACTGATAATGGCGCGGTCATGCAATGCTGCACCCAAACGAAATTTACGTCCTTTTTTTCACACAAATAGAGCTTTCTTTCAGTGTAATTTGATCACCTGTGCGCTTTTTATTTTTCACGCTATAAACAAAAAAAATGCCAAAAATTTTGAAGAAAAACAATATTTTTTACTTTCGGCTATAAAAAATATATAGTAAACTCAAAGTTGGTTATAAATTTAGGCCAAAATGTATTCTGCCACATGTTTTTGGTAAAAAAAATCCCAATAAGTGTATATTGATTGCTTTGTGTGGAAGTTATAGCGTCTACAAACTATGGTATAAAAATACTGCAATTTACGCCATTTTTCTGCTATACAGCGCTGCGCTAGTTTAACGGACAATTGCGCGGTCATGCAATACGGTACATAAATGAAATTTACATCCTTTTTTTCCCCACAAATTGAGCTTTCTTTTGGTGGTATTTGATCGCCTGTGTGGTTTTTATTTTTTGCGCTATAAAAAAAAAGGCTGACAATTTTGAGGAAAAAAAACTATATTTTGGACTTTTTGCTATAAAACATGTCCAGGTAAAAAAAAATGCAAAAATCAAATTTAGTCATAAATTTCTGCCAAAATGCATTCTGCGACATCTTTGTTAAAAAAAATCCCAATACGTGTAAATTAATTGGTTTACGTAAAAGTTATAGCGTTTACACAATACTGAAATGATACTGGAATTTTTAATTTTTATTTATACTAATAATGGCGCCGATCAGCGACATATGGCGGCAGTCAGCGACATATGGCGGCCACCAGCGACTTATGGCGGGACTGCGGCGGACATTTTGACACTGGGGGGGGAACTGACTTGGGGTCACTGACATCCCCAGTGACACCAATACAGTGATCAGTGAAAAAAAAACACTGAAACTGTACTAATGTCACTGGGGAGGAAGGGGTTAACATTTTTAGAATTTGCTGTGTAAGGGGAGTGTTTTACTAGGGGGCGGGGGTGTGTACTGGACAGGCGGAGGGAGGGGGGAGCTGATCGAGGGAGAGAAACTCTGCAGCTTCTCACAAGCTGTCAGAGAACTGACACAGAACAGGGCTGTGTGTAAATAATGCAGCCCTGCTCTGTGTCAGCGATCACCATCAATCGCGGGAAAACGGCCGGTAAAAACCAGCCGTGACCCGGCGGCTGACACCCGCTGCTGACACCCGCGGGACAAGTAGGGCGGGACGCGCCTCGCGCGCGCCCCCTACCTGTTTTGAAGGCAGCCGTTTTAAAACGTTCTTTTGCCTACGAGTGCTGCCCTGCCGCCGTTTATTTGCGGTGGGTGGGTGGCAATTGTTAAATATGAAGCAGACCTTATCCCCCACCTTTCCTCAAAATTCAAATCATCATGAGCTCCGCATACTGATATGATATCATCTAGACATGTGTGATTCGAAATGAAATTCAGACAACATTTTCGACTTTCTGAATCACAATTGTAATGAATTTCAGTGAATCCGAAATAAATTATAATGAAACGAATTATCTGAATTTTAACTCGAAAATGAATTTAAAAAAGAATTCAAATTTGAAAATGAATCTGAATTTTAAAATTAATTTTATTTAGAAATGGAAACATATTACAATAACTACAGTAAGGCATAAAAGTTAAATAAGATGTTTCCTACTTAGGCTGCTTTATAGAATAGAATAATATAGGATAGAAAAGAATAGAGTAAAACAGAATAGAATAGAAAATAAAGGAATAGAATAGAAAATAAAATAAAGGAATAGAATATAAAGGAATAGAATAGAAAATAAAGGAATAGAATAAAACAGAATAGAATAGAAAATAAAGCAATTTATTGGAAAAATAATAAAATAGAATAAAAAATAAAATAGAATAGAAAATAAAAGAATAAAAATATAATAGAAAAAAATAGAACAGAATAGAAAATAAAAGAACAGAACAGAATAAAGTAAAATAGAATAGAACAAACTAGAATAAATTAGAATAGAACAGAATAAAATAGAACAAACATAGTCATCTTCTGAAATTCAAATATGAAATTTCAAATCGATTTGGAAATAACAAATATATGAAACAAATCTGGATATACAAAACAAATTCCGAAAACAAATCATTCTAACATAACGAATATGACAAAACAAAATGAATTTAACAAACTAATCTGAAATGAAACAATTGTTTTGTTTGTGCACATCTCTAAAAATGATCTTACATTCATTAGATAAACATTTTTTGCTTTTACTTACAATTAGTGTTTTTCCACTTTATGGTTGACTGAGGCACTGGTGATGTAGCCCTGGTCTCACATATGCACCCTGGGAAGCTACATTACATCATCATGGCCTCCCCCCTCAAATGACGTGCACTGTCCAGGAAGTAAAGTGAGATGAATTAATCTGCTCTTAGTGCAAACAGCCACCCTGAGAAAAATGGATTGAAAAAAAGAATATGCAAAGAATAAAAAGCCTACAATTATTCTAAGTATCGGTTTGTAGATTGCCATTACTAACATTTCTAAGGCTGGTTCACACCATAAATTTTACAGGAATGTGCTGTGAGTTCCTGTGTGATTCACATGCAATCCAGGTACAGTGCAATTTCAGCCCATTCATTCTGAATCACGCACCAAAAGTAGTACTTTACAAAGCACACATCAACTGGTACTAATGTGCCATGTGATCCTGTGCAGGCAAATGTACTGCGTTTGTAACCTGCATTTGGGTTGTTGTTAAATTAACACTAACACTCACTACAGATCGCAAGTGCAGTGTTTTGAACGCGGTGTGGGAAACTTGCATGGAACGCACGTTTCCCCACACCGTGTTCTGGTGTGACCTGGCCCTAAATGTGCCTTTGTTGCATTTTTATAAGGGGTGAATTTTCTCTTTAATCCACCCATACAGTAGCATGACACTGTTTCAAGCTCAGCCCAGCAGAGCTTCTACCTCAATGAGCTTCCAGGTGGATGCAATGTGTTTGCTCAGTATTATGTAACCATGAGATATTGTCAGTATGAAAGTCATTACAGTGCACCATGATCCCTATAAGTCATTCTTCTAAGAGAATTTGTGTCACCAAGAAAAATATGACAATTTCAGAGAATCAAAGAGATAAACTTTCAACCGCGAAAGAGAAGGCATTTTGTGTCACTTATTGGTTACCTTTCATTCACTGGTTGTCCAAGTCCTGGATTTCCTCGGCCAGTATGTACAAGGTTACAGACTCACCTTCTTATACAGTCCAGTCCCCTACTGTAGTTATTTAACATATTTTACTTTTTTTATTGACAGGAAACTTCCATGTTTCAAGTGGTAGTGACTGATAGCAACCTTCTCATCATGTCATTGGAAGAATCAGATTTAACGGCCTCATCATCTGTCTATGTTGCAAAAATCACTGGCGAGTCAAAGAGTTATTTTCTCCAGTTTGAAGAATCCAATCCCCTAGCTCACTGCCTAAACCGCTGGTGTTTAATGCCAGTTACCATGATCATTTTTACACAGTGACCCTGATGGTGGTAAACTCCAACTTGACTTCAAGACCAGCCAGATCTGTGACAGTGCTGACCAGTAAGTATTAGCGTTCTGTGTGACAAAACTCCACAAAGAGACTTTACTTCTCAGCCAAACCTGACCCTCCCAATGGATTGTACTTGTGGCATTTTCAAATTTCTGGTTGAAAAGTATGTAAACGGATCACTAAGCATAGCAAATATCTGTACTTTTCTGAGACTGGATTACATCAATCCAGGCTTTCTCAGCTGTATACACCAGTCGCAGATACAAGGCAAAATATGGGGTTTGTCCCATTCCTGATCTACAGGAAGCAATACAAAAGCAGACCACACTCCATACTATCATTATTTAATAAACTTTATTATTCAGGATGGCTGCCTAACTCCTGCTGTTCATAGAGAATAGCTATAAAGGCCACATAAAATGTTCTTAGCCTTAAAAATGAAAGTGAGTCACTAAATTTACGACCCTACATTCATCATATCTGGTCTCCCACAGTACACAGAACATGGAAATGCAATTACTTTAGTAAATATAAACTGCAGAATATCTTTTCTCATCAGCAGTATGTACTGTAGCAGTCATGTGACTTCTATCAGTGTCCAGCTGAGTACTGGTCAAAGCTTGTAGAAGGAGTTTTCATTCTGCTCTGACTGTCTTATGAGGCTGCATAACCCCTGACCCTATGTCTGGACAGTGCTGATTGGCCCTGTGCTGATCACATGCACCCTCCCAAAGGAAAAAAAAAAAAAACTCTATAGCCATACACAATAAACTGAGCATGTGCAGAGTGCCTCCTATTGCTCTGTACTATCAGCAGATGGTTTGGGGACAGTAGAAGAAGGGGAGAATCAGAGAAGACACTCCCTCTACTTGTCCTGTTTACCATTATTATTGAAAGTAAAAGAAAATCCCAAATTTTCGGTTGACACCAGAACAGTAATAGAGAAGAAAAAACTTCCAATGGGGACACTAGTTCTGGTGAGCCTGGTGACACCTCAGGAATCCCTCACAATTTTGGTATTTAGTAAAGATTTTAACACATCTGACAAGCCAGACCAAAAAGCCTCCCCTTGTAATCATATAGGTTTTATAGCATTCTACCTTTCAAGCTAAAGACTTTAACACCAATGGTCAATAGCAACCAGTTTCTTTGTACCTATCCAATCATTAAGTAACATTATATCACAGTCCATGTACATCAGATACATCAGATGTGTTCTCCAAGATAAGGCTGACAGATTGTTGGTCCAAACTATTGCTAAACACTAAAATGGCTGATAATGCTACAAAATGGCAGGTGATGCAATGATCAGTAATGATTATATGTAATTTCCCTATATACTTCTAATGTCCTATATTCTTTTTTGCCTTCTAGAACCTCTTTCCATAACCCAGCTTTTAGTCCATGACTACCAACCATCTCCAGAAACCGGAGTTGTTTTTGAAGTTAAATATCCAGAGAAGTTTAATGTCTTCAGCAGAGTAAATATCAGTTACTGGGAAGGAAACAACTTCCGCTCTGTGTTTTATAAAGGTTAGTCATATATTTATGCTGTTTGCTTTCACCTACACCAAGGGGTTTATTTACTAAAGCTGGAGAGTCCAAAATCAGACTCCCTTCTGCATAGAAACCAATCAGCTTCTAACCTCAGCTTGTTCAATGAAGCTTTGGCAATGAAACCTGGAAGCTGATTGGTTTCTATGCAGAAGTGAGTCTGATTTTGCACTCTCCAGCTTTAGTAAATAAACCCCAAATTGTCCACCCGGTCCTTCTGTACAAGCATGTGAACTGCCATCTAACTGTCATCTATGTCTTCCCAATCTGGACTGATTTCAAGTTTAAGGCAGTCTTTTATGAATTATCATAAACGCATTAAATAGTAATATGTTTTGACTGGAAGCTGCAGAAAATACCCTGAAGCCTAAAGTGGTCCTTGGAGGGGAACAGCTGTTGTCTGTCAACCATCCCCAATTCCCAGAATTGGTGCCAATTTGGGTAAAGGGTTATCACTGTGCATGATGCTGAACAGGTGAGTTTGGTATCTGCGGTCCACGTTCCTGTGTGCTTCAGGCGTAAATCAGAAAAAAAGAAAAAAATAATAAGAATACGAATTTTCTGGCACAGTAAAAAAAAAAAAAAAGACCATATTGAAAACTTTTCTATTAATAATTTTGCTTGAAATAACTTTAATTGTTTACATTTTAATTGTAGGTAAGAGATTAATTTAACACTGTGACCTGTGAGGTTGCTTTTGGCACCATTCAAAGTAGAGATAAAAGCATATCCCTGTGTCCCAGAACATGGGGTGCAGGCTTGTCCTAATACCAATCCAGGGGACTAGTAAATATAAAGAGGAAGGGATCGCCGCTACTCCCAACCAGCTCAGGTAAATAAACAGTGGCCTCAACCTATGTGTCTCCACCAAGCCACACACCCTAGGGTGTATGGTTTAGTGAAGACATGTAGGCTTGGGTCGCTCTTTATCGTTTATTCACCTGAGCTGGTTGAGAGTAGCAGCAATTCTTTCCCCTTTAGATTAACAACTTTCTGACCACCCACCCACCCACAATGTATTGTAGAAGGGAGGCAGCTATAGGACCGACACAGAGGGGCGCTGTGTCCACGAGCAGGCGCGCAACCCTCCCCTCCATGTCTGTTGTGGCAAACCAGACACAGCTGAATGAAGATCCCGGTAAACGTGACTCGGTGGTCATGTGATCGCCTTGCGATCAGATGATCACAATAACAACAAAGGTGTTATGAATTGATCTGATTTACAACAGTTCTGCTTCTCTTTCTGGTGAGCTGTGATTGGCCCACAGCTCTCATGTGATACATGGGGCCAGTCACAGAACCCTGTACATGTGACCAGCAGGAGCCAATTACAGATCATTGTATTTTGAGCCGTCATGAACTTAACCCATTCATGACAGTTCAAAGCAAGCAATGCATTGCAGGTGCAATATTCACTATTGCTCCTGCAATGCAAAGTGTAAAAAACAAACAAAAAAAAAATGATTCCCCCCCCAGAGTAGTACAATGTTACTATGGTAACATTGTACTACTTTGATGAAAGTATTTTTTTTTTAAATAGGAAAAAAAAAAGAATGTTTAAAAAAAAAATATTGAGAGAATTTTTTTTTTTTTAACTACTTGCCACTTGCCTGCCCACAATGAGCAGGCAAGTGATTGCTCTGGGCAAAGCAACATACGCTTATGTTGCTTTCTATTTCTGGGTGTGCATACGCATTCGTGCACCCCCCCCCACTGCCCCCTATGCCACTCCAGGGAGAGAAGAGAGAACACAGCACTGTGAGTAAAAGCACTACATTTTACACACACGTTAGATTAGCACATTTAACCCTTTGATCGCCCCTATTAACTCTTTGATCACCCCGTCACCCAGCCAGTACCATTAGTACAGTGTCAATATATTGAATTTTTCACTGATCTCTGTATTATTGCCACTAACGACATCAGATAATGCCAGGGTCTATAAGCTCCCCTCCCAGCCAGGGTCAGCTAGCGTTAGATTGCCCGCACACTATCACACTCACGCTGTAGTTCTCTGACCACCGCCATTACTAGTATAGTATTTGTACGGATCAAAATATTGATCACAAACAGAACTATACTAGTGCCTCCTTTGTATAGTGTCCCCAAAAACACAGTGTTAGCAGGATTAGCCCTGTTCGCTGCCAGCACTAGCGTTTGGCTCCTCAGCTGTTTTTCACGCAGAAGATTTGTATCAATTGATTGTGGGCCAAAGCAATTTATATGCACAACAATACATCACCACCCACACAAATTCAGCTCTTCCCAGACAATTTGCATGGAAATCTATCATGGTTTCTGAATTTAAAACTTTTTTGGGCCTAACCCTCAACATGAGCATTACAAAAAATAATGAATTGCAGTCAAATTGGTCCACAGACCCAATTCATCATATGCCCATGTTCTCTGCTATTTACATATACAGTTGGAAGAAAAAGTATGTGAACCCCTTGGGATTATGTGGAGTTTTGCATGAATTGGGCATAAAATGTGCTCTGAACGTCATCTAAGTAACAACAATAGAAGAACACAGTCTGCTGAACATAATACTACACAAACAGTAGATGTTGCCATGGTTTAATTGCACATAACATGTAAACATTCACAGTGCAGGGAGGAAAAAGTATGTGAGGCCCTAGCTTAATGACTTCTCCCAGAGCTAATTGGAGCCAGGAGTGAGCCAACCTTGACTCCAATCAGTGTGATGATATTGGATGTGTTGCTGACAGCTGTCCTGCCCTTAAAAAACACACACTTGTTTTGGGTTTACTGGTTTCAAGAAGCACTGTCATACCTCGCAGAAAAGAGCTCTCAGAAGACCTACGATCAAGAATTGTTGACTTGCATGAAGCTGGAAAGGGTTACAAAAGTATCTCAAAAAGCCTTGATGTTCATGTGTCCACGGTAAGACAGACTGTCTACAAATGGAGAAAGTTTAGCACTGTTGCTACTCTCCCTAGGCTTGGTCGTCCTGTAAAAATGACTGCAAGAGCACAGCGCAGAATGCTGCATGAGGTAAAGAAGAATCCCAGAGTGTCAGCTAAAGACCTACAGAAATCTCTGGCACATGCTAACATTTTTGTTGACACATCTACAATAAGGAAAACATTAAACAAGAATGGAGTACATGGGAGGACACCACGGAGGAAGCCATTGCTGTCCAAAAAGAATATTGTAGCACGTTTGAAGTTTGCAAAAGAGCACCTGGATGTTCCACAGCACTACTGGCAAAATATACTGTGGACAGTTGAAACCAAGATTGAGTTGTTTGGGAAGAACACACAACACTATGTGTGGAGAAAAAAAGGCACAGCACACCAACATCAAAACCTCATCCCCACTGTAAAACATGGCGGAGGGAGCATCATGGTTTGGGGCTGCTTTGCTGCCTCAGGGCCTGGACGGATTGTTGTCATTGATGGGAAAATGAATTCCAGAGTTTATCAAGACATTTTGCAGGAAAACGTACGACCATCTGTCCGCCAACTGAAGCTCTGCAGAGGATGGGTGATGCAACAGGACAATAACCCAAAGCATACAAGTAATTCAACAAAACAATGGCTGCAACAGCACAGAATACGCCTTCTGGAGTGGCCAGTCAGAGTCCTGACCTCAACCCGATTGAAATGCTGTGGCATGACCTTAAGAGAGCGATTCACACCAGACATCCAAAGAATATTGCTACACTGAAACAGTTTTGTGAAGAGGAGTGGTCCAAAATTACTCCAGATCGTTGTGCAGGTCTGATCTGCAGCTACAGGAAACATTTGGTTGAGGTTATTGCTGCCAAAGGAGGGTCAACCAGTTATTAAGTCCAAAGGTTCACATACTTTTTCCTCCCTGCACTGTGAATGTTTACATGTTATGTGCAATTAAACCATGGCAATATCTAATGTTTGTGTAGTATTATGTTCAGCAGACTGTGTTCTTCTATTGTTGTGACTTAGATGACGTTCAGAGCACATTTTATGCCCAATTCATGCAAAACTCCACGTAATCCCAAGGGGTTCACATACTTTTTCTTGCAACTGTATGCCTAACAAGGACCAGCAATGTACTGGTACGTCACTGGACTTGAGTGGTTATACTGGGATGATGCCTGAAGCTACAGGCACCATCCTGGTATTGTTTTTTATCAGCTAGCTGGCTTTTCAGTTGGTTTTCATGTAAAAACAATCCCAGCAGCTAATTAGCCACTGGAACGCTTTTACAAGCAGCAGGAAGGAATCCCCCTCCCACACACACACCCTTCCACAATTTCTTGGGCTCTCCTGTCCCACAGGGGAATCCAAGAATGCAGCTGGCAGTTCCGCTGGCTGACCATAGAGATAATCGGAGACTGAAAGGCCTCCAGTCATCTCTATGGTCTAAGACAGTGGTCTCCAAACTGTGGCCCGGGGGGCCAGATGTGGCCCTTTGTTTGCCCTTATCAGGCCTTTGGGGCACATTCCACCAACTGACACCAATGACGGGGCACCATTCCCTCTACTGACACAATCAAAATCAACAATTAGGTACTATTCCTCCCATTAAAACCAATGAGTGTGCACTGATGCCTGGGCATTTTCTACCCCCACTGGCCACAGTCCGCCCCCCCAAAACCCCGAAGGACAGTAAACCAGCCCTTTGCTTGGAAAGTTTGGAGACCCCTGGCCTAAGAGAACGGAAGCTACGAGCATTTCATCATTTCTGTTTCACAGGATATAAACAGTGCCATTTTAAAATCGGGACAACATCTGATCACACTGATCTTGGTGTAATTGGATGCTCTAAGGGCAGAGGAGAGATCTAGAGTCTAATAGACTCCAGATTTCTCAGAAATGAGTATCTGTCACTGCCTATTGTTATCACAGGGGATATTTACATTCCCTGTGATAACAATAAATGTGATAAAAAAAATATAAAAGAGACAATGCAAAAATAAATAAATAAAAAATTCACCCCCACCCCCAACCGGTGCTCGCACGCAAAGGCAAATGCAAGCGGTGGTCCCATGTCGGTATGTAAACAGAGATTGTACCTTGCATGTGAGGTATCACCACAAACATCAGATTGAGGGCAGTAATTCTAGAACTAGACCTCCTGGGTAAATAAGTGGTGACCTGTAAAGGCTTTTAAAATGTCGCCTATAGATTTAAAAAATTTACGCAGTTTGTTGCCATTGCACGGATGTGCGCAGTTTTAAAGCATGTCATGTTTGATATCCAGTTACTTAGTCTAACATAATTTTTTATATTTTATCAAACAATTGGGCAATATATTGTGTTTTTTGCATTAAAGTTCTAAAAAGTGTATTTTTTCCCACAAAAATTAGAAAAATCGTTGCGCAAATACAGTGAAGGAAATAAGTATTTGATCTCTTGCTGATTTTGAATGTTTTCCCACTCACAAAGAAATGATCAGTCTAAAAATCGAATGGTAGATGTATTGAAACACTGAGAGACAGAATAGCAACTAAAAATTCAAAAGAAATGCATGTCTAACAAATTATGCACTGATTTGCATGTTCATGTTCATGATCCCTTTTTGGAATGTAGACGCTCCAAGGTATTTGCTAAGAGGCATGGTGAGTATTTTGCAGATCTCATTTGTTGCCACAAGTTTTTGGAAAGCAAAGAAAGAAAACGAAAATTTAGTTTTAATTTTCTTTTTTTCTTTTTCAAAACCATGTGACAAAAATTATATCTGCAAAATACTCACCATGCCTCTTAGCAAATTCATTGAGTTGTCTACTTTTCAAAAAAGGGTCATTTGCAGGGGTGTTCTTACTATCCTGGCATTTTAGGGCCTCCAAAACTGTTATAGATAGTGAGGAAGTGACATGAGGAATTATGCCCTTTCAAAACCTGGAGATGGTCATTGGATTTTTGGGACCTGTATGTAGCTAGGCTGCCAAAAAGTCTCTCACATGTGGTATCCCCACTTTGGGAGAAGTAGCAGAATGTGTTTTGAGGTGTTATTCCACATATACCCATGGCATGTGTGAGCAATAAGTGACAATTTTGTGTAAAATAAAATACATTTTTTTGACATTTTCCAAAATTTTGTGGTAAAAATAAAATCTTCCATGGACTCAACATGCCTCTCAGCAAAATCCTTGGGGAGTGTACTTTTCAAAATGGGGTCATTTGGTGGGGGGGGGGGGGTTACCGCCCTGGCATTTTAGCACCTCAAGAAATTTGATGGGCAGTCAGAAAGTAAAAGCTGCGGAAATTTCAATATATATACCATAGTTTGTAGACGCTATAACTTTCACAAAAATTGATATACACGTATTAGGATTTTTTTTAACTAAAGACATGTAGCAGAATAAATTTAGGACTAACTTTGAATTTACTGGATATTTTTTATAACCGAAAGTAGAAAACATCTTTTTTTTTATAAATGTAAAAAGTGCAGAGCTAATGATAGAAATAGGATAAATAGCTGATTATTACCCAAATAAAGTGCCAAGATAACATGCTTAGTTATCACAACAGATTTTCTCTGATTTTCTGTATTCCTCTAAAATACTTTTTTTTCTGCAGATTATTTTTAAAATCTGATCATTTTTTTTTAAAGAAAAAAGCACTTCTTGCTCTGAAGCGCTGCCATTTCCTTCTAATTTAACAATGCACAATCCCATGTTCGCACATGTTGGACTGTGTATGGTCATTGTAGGACCCTATTATGGGTCCCAACTATTAATAATACAGTAAGAAAACACAAGGAAGCATGAACAGGTTTCTGACATGACTCTTCTATGTATTTATTCTTTGGAGGAAAAATCATCTGTTTCAGTATCCTGAAATTAAATGTATAAATATATATTTGCAGATTTCTTCAAGGGCAAAACTGTGTTTAATCACTTGATGCCAGGGATCTGCTATTCTAATATCACCTTCCAGCTGGTATCAAAGGCCACGTTTAATAAAACCACCTTAGTTAAAAGCAGTGGGATAGGACATGAGCCACAGCAACACCGGACAGGTAAGGAGAGAAGACATACAATAATAACTTAAATATGCAGTGTATCATGGATACAAATGATGTTATCCACATTGCCGGCATTCCCAGGAACTCCAATCTATATTTAAAGGAAGTGCCATCTTTATATGTAATATTTTTACTTACAAGATGGACACATTTGATCTGGAATGATATATATGTAAAATGATTATGGGTGGTTATGTGGTGCTCTGGTCTTGTTGGATGCACATCTGGTTACATCTCTGTTTTGTGGAATGCATGTATGACATTTTCTCCAGACATATGACATGTGCCATTATTCTCCAGGACATATACTGTATATCCATCTGTAACATTTAAATATTTTCTTGGCCTTGAAATCTCCCAGACATCAAATGTTTTTTTCCCACATAAACAGACTGCTGTGTGGTCAATAGCTGAAAACATTGCCATAGGTGACTCATAGACCCCGGTCTGTATCCAGGTACACTCTGTTTATCTGTATGCCAGGTCCAGTAAATGCAGGGTCCATTCTTCTTTCTGAGATAGAGACAATGGTCTTATAATAAAACAGATAAATTCAGCAACAGATCACAACTCTCTTCAGAATTGAAGTCTTTTTTTTTCTAATTTCAGAGATTATAATGCCATCTACAAAACACAAGCAGGGGCGTCCCTAGGGTTGGTGTCACCCGGTGCGATAACACTTGGTGACACCCCCTCCGACGATCCCCGCAGAATGGATCGGATCTGGAGATTGAGCTAATGGATCGGAGTTCAATCCATTATGCTCCCCAATCCGCAGATCTGATCCATCCTGCGGGGATCGTCGGCATGCAACCTATTTGGGGTGACACTGGACACACTCCACGAAAAGGTAAGTTGTAAAGCAAGCCGACGATCCCCGCAGGATGGATTGGATCTGTGGATTGGGGAGCATAATGGATCAGACTCCGATCCATTATGCTCAATCCGCAGATCGATCCATCCTGCAGGGATCGTCGACTTGCTTTACAACTTACCTTTTCGTGGAGTGGGTCCGGTGTCACCCCACGCACCCCTCCCCCCTCACATCTGCCTTGGGACGCCACTGAACACAAGACAGTATCAAGGCACATGGAAATTCTGAGAGTCACTCAATATTAAATCCCAAACACCTGATCACCCAAACTGCACCCAAACTCTGCCATGTCTGCACTGGAGATCAGGCTGCAGACATGGCAGAGTGGATTTCTGACATCCAGTAAGGAGGTCCATCATGACCACTTACACTCACCAGCCACTTTATTAGGTTCACCTCACTAGCACTGGGTTGGACCCCCTTTTGCCTTCAGAACTGCCTTAATTCTTCATGGCATAGATACCCCAAGGTGTTGGAAACATTCCATGGCCCATATTGACATGAGTTACTGTTGCCTTTCTATCATCTCAAACCAGTCTGCCCATTCTCCTCTGACCTCTGACATCAACAAGACATTTTCGTCCACACAACTGCAGCTCACTGGATATTTTCTCTTTTTCAGACCATTCTCTGTAAACCCTAGAGATGATTGTGCATGAAAATCCCAGTAGATCAGCAGTTTTTTAAATACTCAGATCAGCCCATCTGGCACCAACAACCATGCCATGTTCAAGGTCTCTTAAATCCCCTTTCTTCCCCATTATGATGCTCAGTTTGAACTTCAGCAAGTTGTCTTCACCACGTCTAGATGCCTAAATGCATTGAGTTGCTGCCATGTGATTGGCTGATTAACAATTTGTGTTACCAAGCAATTGAACAGGTGTACCTAATAAAGTGACTGGTGAGTGTATGTTGCTGAAATGAAATGTTAATGGGCAGTGAAGCCTCTGCCACCCCCTGCTTTAATTTTTATACTAAGGCTGCCACCTTTTGGTACTTGGAAAACCTGAGCAAGAAGGGGAAGGGGGTTTGGAGTGCACTATGCCTGCTGTATGATAGGTGTGGTTTATTCAAGGTGGACATGGCCCGATATGTGTGTTTAAACCCATGTAGTTTACTCATAATGAGCATGGTAAAACAGAACCTAGTTTTAATTAACATTTTTTTAACCAACACATTTTCTGTAAACTTTTTTTCTTTCATACTTGCAGGTTTATCAGTGCCATATTGGACACACAGGGCCTCTGTTAAAATTATTTTTAGTAATGATTATGAAATAAACAAATACTAATAATGGCCAAAAACCAGAAACACAAAAAACTTTCTTAATCTGAATGTTCTATATATTTATGTTGGTAAATGAATACCTAAAATCCAAGTGCTACTAGCACCACATGTAGGGCACCTTGGTGAAACAGGAATAATAATGGCATTCTGAAAAAAAAATGGTGGCATGCTTTTGTAATAAAGATCCATAAGGGGACTAAATTATAGTGATGTGGTTCTCTAAACAGTGGTGGCTTCACAACACATAGGCAAAAAAACAGCAATCATGAAAATACCTGGGCCCCAAGTGGGCAATCATATACAATACACAGGCAACAATCAGTTGGTAAATTTGACTGCTCCCCTGTCACCCTTTCCCAGCAAAAGCTGACCTGGCTTTCCATGTTCATTATACTGTATATCATCCACAATGTGACAACCATGCAAGCAAACAGTCCTATAGTATTGCAGGCACTGTGAAAGAAGAGTTGTATTAGTTTGGCAAGTTCCTCTGACTGTAGGGAAAATGTTGATCTACTTAGCAAGCTGCAATTACATACATATGATTATTGTATTAATACTATGTTCTCAATACATATCATATATTTTAACACAAGAAGCACAATTAATTCACTATTTCTTCTTCTTTCCCTTAAGCACCTTATCCACCTCAAAATATTTCCATACAAATATTCCTTGTAAACCTTAGCATTTCAGAAGATCCAGCTGAAAGAATTACCGTGGAGACATCCACAACAGAAACCAAACTCATCAACCCCACTGAGAAGTCGGCAGAAATGTTTGATGATCAGTTTGAGAGTTCTGCAGCTAGTTCCTCTTATAACTGGACTGAAGAGAAATATCTAGCTAACAGCAGCTCTGAAACAACAGCTCCACCCTACTGGTGGACAAGTGAGACTGCAACAGTGGATGTTGAAGGGTTTGTGAATGAAATCCCCCCAGACTATGAGAATCCCACTTCAGTAAGCTTCTCCGCTGAAACTGTCCAAGATCCTCTTCCTCCACCTAGCTTTAAAGTCTTAATCAGCTGGTTCCCACCAAAGCCGCCAACTGCATTTGATGGTTTCAACATATATATTCACAAAGATGGTAAATATCTAGCATGTTGAGTCATGTTTAGTGTAACAATTTGTTATTGTGTGCCATTTTGAAATATATTTAAAGTGGACTTGAACTCAAAAAGTAAAGATTGCTATCTTATAGAAAACATCTAGATATGATAATTGTGTCTAAGCAGTCTGAAAATCTACCTTCTATCTTAAATTCTTCCTGAAAACTAGCAGTGTAATTCCTGGCATATGAGGTTGTGCAGGCACTCCTGTATCTACAGTCTCATAGCTGTATATTTGCAGCACATGATCATTTAAGGCACTGCTGTCTCTGATTGTTAGTCTCTGAAGATTTGGGGTGAGATTTTGTGATGTCACTACTTTGCTGCTCACTGTTCTCCTTGCTGGAGGCTCTGAAATAAGAAAGTAAAGCCCTGCCTCTACCAAGATAACTGCCTCCACACAGAGACACAGTGCGGAAAAAGGCATGATAAATCAGTAACAAGGAAACTATCAATTACAGGGAGACCACATACAATATTGGGACTAGTCCTTTCCTTCTGCTGCTAGCTCATGTATGCATTGAAATCAATCTCCAACTTTGCCCCACTTCACCCCTGCTATAATGAATGGAGGATGGGCAGATGAATGAGAAGTCTGCCCCCTCTGTTCATAGATTGCGTCTTATTCACTGAAGCAATAGTATATCTTCTATGAATGGAAGAACTGGGCAGAAACAGTAGGCAGTGGGCATAGTCAGACACACTTAAAGTGTGTTTATCGTGGGTCTGTCGGCTCTATTAACCCCTGCAGCAACAGGTGTTGGTGGGGGGGGGATCAATGGAGGAAGATTTCAATGGATGCAGGAGCCAGCAGCACAAGGACCATATTGGATCAATAGTAAGTAGTGTCTGTGAATATAACAGAATCTGTGAAAGGAGGACAGGCTGCTGATTAATAGGTCTGCCCCCTCCATTCATAGATTGTATTTTATTGATAGAAATTGTAGTAATGACTTCCATGAATAGAAAAGGCTGGGGTAAATGCTGCTGTGTGATCTCCACCTTAAACTGTCTTTCTGCTACACAGTGACTTTCTGCAAAACTCAGAATAATTAGTCCTATATTTTTTTGTCTGTTTGTGGTGACTGATTCTCACCTCCTTTTGCCTTTCTGTGATCAGAGAATCAATCATCTTTTATGACATTGGCCTATGTCTGAGGCTGGTCTGGTTTTGACCAACCTCCGCCCAAATTTGTGTGATCCTTATCAGTTCCTAATTAAGGCGGAGAAGAATAGCTCATTTCATCATCTCCCTATAAATTTAGACCAGCTTGTGGGGGAGGTCACAGACGGGGGGTACAGTCGCAGACGGGGGCATTGTCCTGCGTGAGTACATTATCTGCTGAGGTGCAAAACAGCAGTTGAACACAGCAGGGCATTTTCTGCTGGAATGCAAAACAGCAGTTGAACACAGCAGTGGATTTTCTGCTGGAGTACAAAACAGCAATTGAACACATCAGTTTAACTAAAACAGGATAGCTCAAGCAGTAGGAAGATACAACAAAGAAGTCTACTGCATGCTGGATGGACTGCAAGCAAACACCCTGGGAAACATCTCCTACAAGTCTGATTCCCACTCCATCTACCTTTTAATATGCCCCCTCTACTCCTCCTTTTCATATTACTATCCTCTGTTCTCAAAATCTCATTTCTTTACCCCTCTGCTCCACCCCAAAGCTTATACATCTCACCCTCACTGCTACCATCTCCCTACTACTGCTCTCATCACCTCCTGATGATACTTTACTCATCAGCTGACCCAAACACCAGGACAGGAAGGCATGTGCACTCATATACATCCCACTCCCATCTTACTTTCCTCACCCTCCTTCCTCTCCTAAACCTCTAAGGATATCTCCCCAAACCCCGGTCCTCCAGTGTCTCACCCCCACACCAGGCACCCTCCTTCCTCCAGGAATAGCCGCAATCCACTCAATTTAATATCAATCCCCGTGCTCCAAAAAACCACCCTCCCTTTTTCAAGTGCACTCTGGAATGCCCACTCTGTCTGTAATAAACTCACCTCTGTCCATGACCTTTTTGTCTCCCGCTCCCTTAACCTACTAGGAATTACAGAAACCTGGCTTCAAACATCAGGTTCTGCTTTTCCCGTAGCACTTTCCTATGCAGGCCTTCTCTGGACTCACTCACCCAGACCCAGTGGTCGGAAAGGAGGTGGAGTTGGTTTGCTTCTATCCCCACCTTTCAATTCCTCCCTAATCCTCCTTCTCTATCCTTCTCTTCTTTCGAGACTCACTGTATTCAGCTGTTTTCTCCCATTTCTCTGAGGATTGCAGTGATCTGCTGGCCTCCTGGACTGGTGTTGCTGTTTCTTGATCACTTCTCTGCTTGGATACCCTACTTTTTCTCCTCTGAAATACCCACTATCATTCTTGGAGATTTTAACATCCCCGGTAATGTGAACAACCAAGCTACATCCCAACTCTTCAACCTAACCTCATCTTTTGCCTTAACACAATGGACATATTCCTCCACTCACTCTGATGGGAATACATTAGACCTTGTTTTCTTCCATTTTTGCACTCCTTACAGCCTCACAAACACCCCCTTTCCTCTCTCTGATCACAATCTCATCACCTTCACAGTCTCCTCGTCTTCAAACACTTATCCCTTCAAGTAGCAAGCAATTACCCGCAGAAACCTTCAAAACTTAAACCCTGCTCCTTTCCACTCTGCAACTGACTGCCTCTATGACAGAATCTCTCCCCTGTCCTGCCCTGCCCTATCTACTGCTGTCTACAACAATTCACTTGCATCCACACTTGACTCACTTGCTCCTCTAACTACACAAAATATCAGGCCCCAACCATCACAACCGTGGCAGACTGACGACACCAGAAATCTTAAGAGACATACTGTAGTTGTGCACTGGAGCGATTGTGGCATAAAACCAAACCTCAGCAAGCATTCACCCTATATACATCTGCTTTCTTAACATACAATTCCTCCCTCCATGCTGCCAAACAGGTCTACTTTGTCACTCTTATTAATACCTTGTCATCCAGTCCTCGTCATCTCTTTTCTACTTTTAACTCTTTACTTTCTCCACCTCCACCCAGTAACTCACTCACTGCTTATGAGATTGCAAATCACTTCAAAAACAAGATTGATGCAATTCGTAGGGGCATCTCCTCTACACAGACATCTATCCCACTTAGCTTACCTTATACTAAACCTCTCTCAAAACTTTCCTCTTTTGACCTTGCTACTACTGAAGAGGTCACTAATGTTTTCTCAGAAGCCTGTCTCACCACGTGCCACCTGGATCATGTCCGCTCTCAACTACTACGGTCACCCTCTTCTTCTGTCCTATGCTCCCTCACTTACATCTTCAATCTCTCCCTCTCTAATGGTGCCTTCCCCACCCCTCTAAAGCATACACAGATCACTCCCATACTTAAAAAGCCCTCCCTGGACCCCACCAACCTGAACAATGTAAGACCCATCTCCCTGCACCCATTTACCTCTAAACTCTTAGAATGCTTAGTCTACAATCTCCTGAGCTCCTACCTCACTGACAATAACCTTCTTGACCCTTTACAGTCTGGCTTTCGCTCACTCCATTCCACTGAAACTGCCCTACTAAAACTCACTAATGATTTACTAACTGCCAAAACTAATGGCCACTACTCCGTACTCTTACTACTTGACCTCTCTGCGGCTTTTGATACTGTTGACCATCTTATCCTCTTCAAAAACTCCACTCTCTTGGCCTCTGAGACGCTGCTTTCTCCTGGTTTTCCTCCTACCTATCACAGCGCTCCTTCAGCGTTACCTAATAATTCTGTCTCCTTCTCTCCACTTCCTCTTTCTGTAGGGGTCCCTCAAGGTTCTGTCCTTGGACCCTTTCTCTTCTCCATCTACACCTCCTCCCTTGGTCACTTTATAAACTCCCATGGCTTTAAGTACCATCTCTATGCTGATGACACACAAATCTATCTTTCTACTACTTACCTCGCCCCTTCAGTCTCCTCTCGCATTACTAACCTACTAAGTGACATATCAGCATGGATGTCACTCCACTTCCTCAAACTAAATCTTTCCAAAATGGGGCTCATACTATTCCCGCCAGCCCGTGCCCCGTCCCCTGACTTCTCCATCAAGATCAATAATACAACCATCAGTCCCTCCCCTCATGCCAGGCTACTAGGTGTACTCCTAGACTCCCATCTGTCCTTTCAGCCCCAAATCCAATCGCTGTCCAAATCTTGTAAACTTCACATCCGCAACATCTTCAAGATATGCCTGTTGATAACCTCTGAAACCACTAAGCAACTTATTCACTCCCTTGTTATCTCTCGCCTTGACTATTGTAACTCCCTCCATATTGGCCTACCTAATCGCAGGCTATCCGCTCTTCAGTCTATCATGAATACTGTTGCCAGACTCATCCACCTTACTAACCGTTCTGTATCTGCCACCCCTCTCTGCCAATCCCTCCACTGGCTTCCTATTGCTCAACGAATAGAATTCAAAACAATAACGTATAAAGCCATTTATAACTCTGCCCCAAATTACATCACCAATCTTGTCTCCAAATATCACCCAAACCGTACTCTCCACTCCTCCCACGACCTCCTACTCTCTAGCTCCCTTGTCTCCTCCTCCCATGCTCGTCTTCAGGACTTCTCCAGAGCCTTCCCCTTGCTTTGAAGCTCTCTACCCCAATCTATCCGACTATCACCTACTCTGCCTACTTTTAACCGATCTCTGAAAACCTACCTAATCAGGGAAGCCTATCCTGCCTTCAGCTAATAATGGAATCTACTATTCCTCTTGTCAGTTACTCCCCCACAGTTATTACTATTTGTACCACCAGCCCCTCCCTCTTAGATTGTAAGCTCCAAGGAGCAGAGCCCTCCTAACCCTCTTGTATTGAACTGTATCATTGCTGTATTTTCTCCCTTTATATTGTAAAGCGCTGAGCACACTGTTGGCTCTATATAAATCCTGTATAATATTAGTTGGCCACGCTTGATGAGAGCTGGTGACAGGCCCTTAAGTCTATTAACCCCTGCCACCCTGCAAGATTATGACGGGGGGGGGGTGGCATCGGAAATTTGGCAAAAGGAGGCAATAGCAGCATAAGGGACACATCTCACTATCTCACTGAAGGTAAATGATGTCCCTTGTGCTGATTTTTTTTTTGTTTTAGGTAAACTTGGGCTTAAAGAATACATTTTTCATACTGTACCCTAATGGATGCTGCCCCAGAAAGTCTATGACTGGATAGCCAAACTTGTGTCTAGAATAGAGAAGAAATTAAACAGCCAGTTTCGTCTCTTCGGAGAACTGTGTTATTAGAGTGCCTTTTACATAAGAAATCATAGCAGAGTCAAGTTAAAGTCCCAAGACTTGAAATTCCACAATGCCTAACTTGCACCTGTGTGTCCTTTAATAGTTTTACTACACCCTGCTAACTGCTTCCATAGAAATCAGAGTTCCTGAACTATATACACATTCATCATATTTAGAGCTGTCTGGCTACATTTATTTCAGGGCCCCCATATCTAGTCAGCAAATGAAGCATTAGACTTTTTCTCAAATGTTTTCAGGGTGTACTTACTTCCTTTGTTGTAAAAAGCTAGTGTAATTAAAAATGTCAAAATGTATGTAAATAAGTCGGAGTAGTGACTTCACCACTTCCTTCAATATGGCTTCATCTGAGGTTTCATTCAGGCAGAGTGAGTGCCTGAAATTGGAAATCTGTGTTTTTTTAATTTCACCCAAAAATTATAGTTTTTTTGATCATTTGTACTGACCAGGTGTGGGTTGATATTTAGACTTTCCAATATCCCCAGCAGAACCCTAGAAATTCTCCATCCAGACCCTTTGAAATGAGTTATTTGATGATCTGAGGCAAATACAGATTAGGAACTGATGAAAAGGTAGAAGATTGTACAAAATGTGAATTTCCTGTCACTCCAGAATATATTCAGGAATATTTGACTTTTCTTTCTTCTGTCTGTTTAGGAAATGTGACTCTAATCTCTAGTGTGGATGAAAATACTCATGACTTTGTAACAGAACTGATGGAGCCAGGAAAATACACATTTTCTATACGAACATTTAGCTCTTCTGGATCTTGTGACATTAGAGAAAGCAGTGATGCCAAAGCGGCCAGCTTCTATATCAGTAAGTGAAGAACTCCGTGACTGTGTCCTGACTACTTAATCATGGTGGACACTTTTGTGAACACATTATTAATGTTGGTGCACCTGCAGTGGGAGCCGCTGTTACTGAAAACATATTTGAGATATTCAGTGACATTCGGCAGTTTATCATTGAATGCATTTTGTTGATCAGGGTTTCTCAACCAGTGTTCCATGGAATCCTAAGGTTCCTCCAGAGGATGCTAGGAGTTCCTTGAACATTTCCTGCCTGTCAGATAGGTTCCCACTGACACAACTGATCTTTTAGCTATCTGTAAGGGGGTAATTCTTCCCAATCACTTGAAGGGTAGGGAGCATTCTTCTCACCGACTATCACACCAATGTATCATGAGTAGCTATAATAACTTTTAGCAGGGGTTCCATGAGACTGGAAAATTATTTCAAGGGTTCCTCTGTGTTGATAAGGTTGAGAAAGGCTGGTGTAAAAATTCAGTGCAGTTTGCTTTCTGATGTAAACTTTTGTATTTTGTTTGGTGGCTACACTTCCCTGATCCCTGCACTATGCGTTTATAAAGGAAAAAAGTCCTTCTGTTTTACAAAAAAATTATCTGTGAGGTTATCAAACTTAGAGTAAAACTCAAGCTTTGTTGAAAAAACAAACCTCCAGGTGACCCATATATACAAATTAAGTATATATGTAAATATATATATCACAAAGATCAGTAAACACTAGTGCACCATTGACATTCTGCTCAATTGTTTGTGCTAAAGTGCTGGATCAATGGTCTGTGGTTGGCTTAGTTCTATCTGTGTTTTCAGAGGACTATGTAAAGATCTCAGTTTGCCACATTGTCAAAACGTACAACATGAGATATCGTTGAGTATTCATTCACAATCTACTTCTGTTTCTGGCTAAGGTCCTGATGGAAAATGGTTTGAAGAACTGACAGAAAAACCAAACAATGTGACAGTGAGCATCCTCAATTCTACAGCAGCATTGGTGTTGTGGACATCTTCCCTGGCAGGCAGTAGTGATGCTATTGTGTCTGTCCAGTCACAGACATGCCAGAAGCAGAAGGAAAGTCAAAGGCTGGAGAAATATTATTGTAAGGAGGTAACTAGACATTTGTGTGTTTTACTGAATATATTTTCACTTCTCACATGGTTATGAGAGTCGTATTTTCATGTTTATTAACTATCTATGAAACGTCCAGCTAAAAACTCTGGGTTCCTGCTACCCTGGCAGGGCAGCACTATCACTATTGTGAGTATTTTGTACTAATAAGTAGAATTGTGTGATACTGTACTAAGACTTTCTTCTCACATAGAGGTAACATCACATATTTTATCAAACAATAGACAGACACATTTTCATAAGATGTCCCCTACTAGGGGTGACAGTGGGGTACCCAGATGCTCACCATTTCTAACCCACACATCTTAAGTGTAGAGCAGGGGTGTCAAACTAGCGGCCCTCTAGCTGTTGCGGAACGACAAGCCCCATCATGCCTCTGCCTTTGGGAGTCATGCTTGTAACTGTCAATCTTGCAATGCCTCATGGGACTTGCAGTTTGGCAACAGCCCGAGGGCCGCCAGTTTGACACCCCTGCTCTACACTTAAGATGGTGTAGAGAGAAAGACATAACGTACATACCTTACACACACCCTTTTTCATGTAATATAAACACAGTCATTTTGGGAAGTTATTTAATCATTGTGTTTTGTATTTTCAGGTTAATTTAACCAGCAATGTTATCAGAAACTTAGTGCCTGGTGCCCAGTACAGGGTGGTCGTCTACCTGCAAAAGGCCCCATTAATTGGTCCCCCATCAGATCCGCTCCTCTTTTCTACTGGTAATATATCTTATTTACTTTTTTTAAACAAAAGAGGATAAATATTTATCACAAACAATATACTGTATAGTATATGCTGTACAGTATGTATGCAGGTAATGTATAAGTTAAGTTAGACATACTGCTGTAATTAATGGCATACTCATGCAATGTCCAAGTAAAACATGCTCAATAAGACTCTTACCTGCCTGGAAGGACCATAGATACCAAGATCCTTACAATGGCAGTCCCTGCCCTCACCATTAGCTTTTACCTGCATGTTTATAGATTATGGGTTATAAAGCATATATCCAGGCAATACTGGAAAAGTCATGTGGTCTGTGGCCTGTTTGGTGAACATATTCAAGAGGATTCTGCTGAATACATCCAATTTCACTCAGTTAATTGGCGAAAATAGAGGGGATAAAAAGGCCTTCTCATACCAGCATAAATAACATCACAGCTATTGGCAAGTGTTACTAGGATTGGGTTTTTGAAGAGTTAACATCCACTACTATCCCTAGTCTCAAGCAAAAATTTAATAATTAAATTTTAATTATTTTTTAATAACTAGATGGATAAGGTTTTGGTTCACCCTACTATGAGTTTGTGGCAAATCCTCATTTTTTGTGAATCTCACAAATCATTAACTATTGTCCGAAAACTAGCATGTTTGCTGCCAGAAATAAGGGACTACCTATAATACAGTGCAATGCTTTTGTCCCTGGTCAGCTGTATCACAAGAATCAATCATTTGAAGGCACAGATAACCCAATATACTTTCTATTAAATATTGGCTCACAACAGCCATATTGTCAGTTTGTGTGTGTGTCTGTGTGTTTCTGTGTGTGTCTGTGGTAGGGAGAGCTACACAATTATGTGTGAAGATAGACACTTTTTTAAATGTATTTATTTTTTTAACTGGCAGTGCCCTGCTCCCCATGTCTTTTGTTTGACAATTCCCTGCTTTATAGCCCTACACATGGCCAGAGTTGAATAACCATACACACTCTCCATAGATTTCAGTCGAGTTTGCAAAGTTGGTGAAATTCAAGGAAGATCTGTTCATAAACTGAACCCAGGCAGATTTTCTCACCCCTGCATACACACAAGCCATCCTTATTCCTTTCAGTCTTATCCTCAGGCTTACCTTCTCTGTCCTGTAGTCAACGTTCTGAGTTGTCCTCTGTATTATGTTCTGCAACAACAAATCCTTCATGAAAAAACAGACAGTAGCAGCAACAATGTAACAAAAATAAAACCACCACCCTGCCATCATATTACTTACTACTCAAAGTAATATATATGTGTATGTGTATGTATATATATATATATATATATATATATATATATACTGCTCCAAAAAATTAAAGAAACACTTTAAAAACACACCAGATCTCAATGGGGAAAAAAATCATGCTGGATATCTATACTGACATGGATTGGGTAATGTATTAGGAACGTAAGGATGTCCCATTATTTGATGGAAATGAAAATGATCAATCTACAGAGGACTGAATTCAAAGACACCCTGAAAATCAAAGTGAAAAAATTATGCAGCAGACTAGTCCATTTTACTGAAATTTCATTGCAGCAACTCAAAATGGTAATTTGTATGGCCCCCATGTGCTTGTATGCATGCCTGACAACATAGGGGCATGCTCCCAATGAGACGACGGATGGAGTCCCGGGGTATTTCCTCCCAGATCTGGACCAGGGCATCGCGGAGATCCTGGACAGTCTGTGGTGCAACCTGGAGGCGTCGGATGGACTGAAACATGATATCCCAGAGGCCCACTAGAGGACGTTGGCCCTCAGGCTACCCTCATGAAGTCTGTTTCTGATTGTTTGGTCAGAGACTCTCACACCAGTGGCCTGATGGAGGTCATTTTGTAGGGCTCTGGCAGTGCTCATCCTGTTCCTCCCTGCACAAAGGAGCAGATACTTGTCCTGCTGATGGGTTAAGGACCTTCTACGGCCCTGTCCAGCTCTCCCAGAGTAACTGCATGTCTCCTGGAATCTCCTTGTTGCTCTTGAGACTGTGCTGGGACACACAGCAAACCTTTTGGCAATGGCACATATTAATGTGCCATGCTAGAGGAGTTGGACTGCCTGTGCAACCTCTGTAGGGTCCAGGTATCACCTCATGCTACCAGTAGTGACACTGACCCTAGCCAAATGCAAAACTAGTGAAAACAGTCAGAAAAGAGTAGGGAAAGAAATGTCAGTGGCCTCCACCTGTAAAACCATTCCTGTCTTGGGGATCATCTCATTGTTGCCCATCTAGTGCACCTGTTGTAAATTTCATTAACACCAAAGCAGCTGAAACTGATTAACAACCCCCTCTGCTACTTAACTGACCAGATCAATATCCCAGGAGTTTAATTGACCTGATGCTATACTCTGATTAAAAAGTGTTCCTTTAATTTTTTTGAGCAGTATATATATATACAGTATGTATGTATGTATATGTATATATATATATAGAGAGAGAGAAAACTTAGTAAAGCATCTGCTTTTCAATCCACAGAACCAACTGGAATAAAAGATTTGGTACTTTACCCCTTGGGACCATCAGCTGTGGTGCTTAGCTGGAGCCGCCCATATCATAGCGTCTTCCGGAAATATGTTGTCGAAATGTTTTATTTTAACCCTGTAACCATGACATCAGAATGGACACCGTATTATGAAATTGCAGCAACTGTTTCCTTATCATCCACAGTGGTAAAGTATATTTATTTGCTTTATTGCATGAAGTAGCAACCACAGAGCTTCCAAACATGAACAATACACCTTGTCTGTGTACCAAGTATTATTAAGCTCCGTTTTGTATATATCTGAAAAGATAGAGGGCCTTATAGGCACATATGAACAGATACAATACATTGAATATTTGCATTTAGGGCCGGTTCACCGGGATTGAAGGGGAACGTGTGCATTCCCGTACAATTCCCGCGCCTTTCTATGCGATGTGTTTTGACAGCTTATTCATTTGAATGGGCTGCAAAATGCACTGGATTGCAAAAAAATGTAGTGCACGCACTACTTAAAAATGCACTTCACCAAACCGCATTGTACTGTGGTGCCATGCCATTTGGTACCTGAAAACTCACTGTGTAAGCAATCTGCATTTGGAGTGACACAATACATTGGTACCCGCATACAGAAACCTCAAGGGCAGCACATTCATCTGTGGTGCAGGAAACGGGCACAGAACATGCCTTTTTCGCATCGCATTCTGGTGTGAACTGGCCCTCAGTGCTAGAAGAAGAATGTAGTAAGCATATATGTCTATAAAGGTTCTCATTACTACAGTTAATGGTGTAGCTAGCTTAGTATTAGTCACATACAACTGGATTTGTTCTGTAATGTTTAAAGACGTTCCATAACTTCTCCAAGCGATTTCTTCAGTTCAAAAAGACAAAAGGCAAAAAAACACAGGTACTTTCAGAGTGCTAGAAATGTTTGTGGCTACCCAGGCTGGGCATTTGTTAAAACGTCCGCAAGATCAAGCAAAAACACAGGACCTTCAAACAGAGGAAAACAAAACTCAGTAATATAGTCAACCCATATGTAGCTGGTGTGTCAAAAAACTCTGAAGGATCTTTAGAAAAATTGAAGGGGAAAAAAAACACCCCAAAGAGAGAATGGACTATCTCGGCATCCTAAGGACAACACAGTCATAATGACAATGTATTTTTATTGATGCACAAAGAATTTTTTGATCAGAGATGTACATGAATCTGTTCTAAAATCACAAAGATTTAACAACATGGTAACATAATTCACAAAGGTTATAGTTGTTACAGCTCCACCCCCGATAGGGGATAATGCTGCCTCCTCTACATGTTTTGTGGAAATAATCTGCTTCTTCAGGAGGAAAAGTCAAAGACTACTCTGAAATAGAATCATAACAGTCAAAATGCAATATCAACATATTAAATATGGTCCCTTTGATGTTTTTTAGTCGTATCGGTGGTATATCTGCCACTGTGCCCATCATTTTGCCCCCTGCGGCTGCCTGTTGGGGAGACATGCTGTTGCCATCGTCTGGCCTTTTCTATTTTGCATGAGCTCACATTGGTAAGCAACCTTTTTGTGGATCTTGAGATACCAGTATGCAGCATATGTTATTTGTAACCCTATGAGATATTGTATTTTGACTGTTATGATTCTATTTCAGGGTAGTCTTTGACTTTTCCCCCTGAAGAAGGGGATTTTTTCCATGAAACATGTAGCGGAGTCAACATTATCCCCTATCGGGGGTGGAGCTGTAACAACTATAACCTTTGTGAATTATGTGACCATGCTGTTAAATCTTTATGATTTTAGAACAGATTAATGTACATGTCTGATCAAAAAATTCTTTGTGCGTCAATAAAAATGTATTGTTTTTATGACTGTGTTGTCCTTTGGGTGCCCAGATTGTTCATTCTCTCTTTGGGGGTTTTTCCCCTTCAATTCTTCTATAGTCATTTGGAATGATGGCACCCCAACCTTCTAATGGTTTCTAACAATATGAGGTGTTCTGTCTCTCCAATCTAAGCATTGATAGTGTGATCTCTGTAACTTAAAGTTGTGATGAGATAGCGATAACTTCAACCTCAATTGGATACCACAGTCAGTGACTCAATCGATAAGACATCTTGTAGATCTTGTGAAGTTTATTCCATAAACTGAGAGAATCTTACAACAATGAACATTTGATAGGTCAAAAGATCATAATGTGTCCTGCTCCATGACATGAGGCTAGAGCTGCAATGCATTTCTGGGAAAGGGGGAAGGCTATCTATACAGCATTAACCAAACCAAAGGAAAGGGAGGAGCAGAAACAAAACACAGAAACACTTAAAGGCATATGACAGTCAATATGACAGTCATGTGAAACATGACATTAAGCTTGTTTTATAATCTGAAGGATCTTAGACAAACATTGTATTCCTGTGTCCTTCAAGTCAGTAGCTTAGACATCACATCCAAGAGAACCAACATCCAAGCACAAACAAAGTACTTTGGTATTTGCAGTGTAGTGCATTGAAGAATGTAAAGACACGTACATTGTAGAGACAAAATAACAATCATGGATTTAACACCAATGTCAGCATCCTTACGCCAAGCATGGGATTATGAAATTAGAACTGGGTGGTTCAACAGCTGTCACACCTCTTATCCTGTTCTTAGGTACTCAACATTCACACATTCCATGGTATTTGGATTGAGGGTAACTAACTATGCTACCTCTGTTCTTGTATTGATATAAATACAGGAGTATCTTCCTGATCCTCACTGGAACTGAATACGTGGCTTGGAGAAGCTACACAAGACATTATCAACTATTTACTACTAGCTAGTAAGCATGTAGAGATTATATATATATATATATATACTTTTTTTTTTTTTTTTTGCAGAGACTGACCAATCTACTTCCAGCCTGGTACTATAACTTCCGCGTGACAATGGTGACATGGGCAGAGCCAGAGCGCAGCTGCTGTGACACTTCCACTATAAGCTTCATAACAGGCAAGTGTTCAGATTAGAAATCACCTGAATTCTGTCTGTCTGTTTGGATCTCCCTGTGTAAAAATCAGGTGGGTTAGAATTCCCCTTATTTATAGGTAACCAGTACCATCTCCTGTCCAGAATTGACATCTCTTCCTGCTTTTCATCTTGCGAGATCACAGCTGATCTATTATTTTCACTGTAAGGGGTGTCAGCCACTCAAGGATGTAACCATGTGGCTCTCATAGCTTTAACGTACAGGATCATAATACTGGAGGACAGATGAGCTGTTTACTTCTGTTGCTGCTGCAATTACAATATATGCTGACAATTTGGTGTCTTCCAGGACTTAAATAGTATTGTTCTTTTTTGTCTATCCAGACAGTAGAATAGATTTTTTTTAGATCATTGTCTGTTCTTCTGTCCATCAGGTCTTTAAAGTTTGCTGTGTCAATTTGTGGTATAGTGGCATGTCTGGCTAGTCTCAACTTTTGAAGCAAATGTCTACTTAATGCCATCTTGCACATGTCCTTCCAATGCCTGAACCTTAACGGGTGTTCATCCCCAAGTGGTACCATTGACTGTAATGTCATATGGCATGTCATAAATCTAATGCAGGAATAGTTTTTACTTAAACCCTTATACTTTTAGCATAAATAGAATAGAAAGCAGTAGGCTCTATTTTAGTACTTTAATAATCTTTTTGGTTGCATTACGTCTTTCTCTCAGATATTAGAAGTTATCTAACTGATGTAGCCTGTCATGGGGAAGATAAATGCTTATTTACAGATGGATGACCTATGATGTCAATCTCTATCTCCAAATACTCCCTCTTGAGCTCCTATCCTAAAAAGTAGCAAGCCATTTATGCGGACCTTGCTGTACAAACCAAGATCTGTTTATTCATGCCTCCTATAACAAAATACTGCAGTATAATTTGAAAAACAAATGCTTGTGGGGAAGAAAAGGTTGGTAAATATATTTACCTTACCCAGGCTTCCACAATGCAGGGAGTGACATCCCATCCTTTTTGACAAGATTCTAGAGAATGTGGAGTATCCTGATTCATGCAAGTAGATGCTTTTTTAATGCAAAGTCCAATATAATAAGCTTTATTTTCATTGATGACCAGAAAACAAAGATAAACAGATTCCAAATTTCACCTCAAACAACCTTTTTGCGGGTGTAGTGTAATTGAACTCAGTTAACACTGAAAAAAACAGTGATTTATAAATAAAACCAATGAGATAAAGAAATAATCAGCTTTCAAATACAACAGTCCACTGTTTGTGACACTGAAGGATAGAAGCAGAACATCTAACAGCCTCATCTACCCAGGGACCTGATGCAATAGGGCTTTGGTCTCCATTATGGCCTTTAAAGTATTCTTATAAAGGGTATATATAAGAGGGCACTACTGCTCTTCTTCTCTCCAATCCACATAACATCCACCCCAAAGACACTGACAAGAAGCTAGTGGAATGGATGACATCGCCTTAACCAGAAAAGACAATGGACCGGGAGTGACACATGGACTGGAAGTAATGACAGCCATTACTCAGAGACACACTAAGGAAGCTTAAAACAGAGAGGAAGGTACAGGGGTAAAAGAAGATAAATAACAAAATGTAAAAAACAGTAAATTAATATATTCAAATAAAACTTGTAGTAGCATAATCATGCTAGTTCTTTGGAAAATCATGCTGCAATAAGGGTGAGGAAAAAAACCCTTGGTCAGTGTGGGAGCAAAACTATCCTAAAGAAGGGCATCTATGCGATCACAATACAGAAAAAAAGAAACAGAATGTGGAAGCTGAGGAAAGCATTTAAGATCGTAACAAGGGGCTATTCTGCGGGTCACAGAGGCAGGGCTAGGTCCATTAGTGCTGACATTGTGAGGCACCTGGAAAATTATCTTACTAGAGATGTCGTGTCTCATAATCTTATCTATGATGATATTGCAGCTCCTGTGGCCCCCCGCATCACTCAGGTGGAATATGTGAAAACTCTGCTGTATATTACCTGGCGATATGGCGAGAAGGGCTTGGATCTTTCACATTCAAGAATGCTGCACTGGCAGGTGACAGCAGAAGGGAAGAAAAGGATAAAGAAGAGTGTAAGTTTATTGTGAGGTGTCTCTTTCCACTTAACAAGGGGACACTTGTTTAAATTGTCTTCAAAGTCATTTGTAGTCCAACTGCAGTAACCCCTTCTTACACATCTACAGTGATAAAGTAAATGATATTTTACCAAAATATAATATAATATATTGCTGCAGTCACAGTTGATAGCAATGTAATTAATGTTGGACTGCAGTCAGACTGCAGTGTCCTGACATATCTGATAAATATTATATCATTTACAGTATATGTGTGTCCTCACTCCTTGGAGATAGTATAAAGTAAACTCAACGACCAGTCAAAATCCATCTCTCAGTGATGTGACTGAATTAACCTTGTTGCTGGAAGTGACTACACATTGCACTGAATCCATGTGAAAGTAAACAACCAGGCTGCAAAAAAAGTTGGAAAGTGTTCTGTTTTGCAGAGCTGACAATCTGGTATGGGGGGATAAATGCATATCTGATTGTGTCACTCTCTTATCAGGTTTCCCGGAATATGATGACAGCAGTAATGGCTCTACCTGCCGGAGACATCTACAATATAACAGTCACCGCCTTTACTGAAAAGAGCAGCAACGCATCACTTCCGTATGTGGTGAAACTTGGTAAGAACATTGAAGAAGCTTTTCTGTCCTACAATACCCTCATCCTGGATTGGAGGTGGATAGTGTAGTGTAGAATATCTAGTGATTATGGAAGTTATGGTATGAAATATCCAGTGATGATGGTGGTTGTAATGTGTCATATATAGTGCTGATGGGGAGTGTAGTGTTGAATATTGAGTGATGATGCGGGTTATAGTGTGGAATATCTAGAGATGATGGAGGGTACAGTATAGAATATCTAGTGATGATGGAGACTGTAGTGTGGATGATTTAGTGATGATGGGAGATAAAGTGTGGTATATATACAGTGATGATGGGGTTATAATGTGGAATATTCAGTCATGATGGAGGGTGTAGTATAGGATATCCACTGATCATGGGGAATGAAGTGCGGAATATTTAGTTATGAGAGGGGTTGTGATGTGAAATATTCATTCATGATTGGGAGCTATAGTGTGGACTATCTAGTCATGATGGGGATTGTAGGGAGGAATATCAAGTGATGATGGAGATTTTAGTATGGAATATCCAGTAATGATGGGGATTGTAGTATTGAATATCTCAAAATGATGGGGTTGTAGTGTGGAATATCTCTTAATGATTCGAGTTGTAGTGCAGAATATCCAGTACTGATGTGGAGTTTTAGTGTGGAATATCTAGTTATAATGTGGGGTTTCTCGTGGAATGTCTAATGATGATGGGGTCTGTAGTGTGGAATATTATCTGGTGATGATGGTGGTTTATGTCTAGAATGTAAAGTGATAAAGAAAAATGTAATGTGAAATATCAAATAATGATAACTATTTATTTAAAAAATGTGGTTGTGATTTATGATATCTCTTGATGTTATTCTTCGTTTTATAATTGGAGAAGATTTTGTTTACAGAGTAACATTTTATTTGCACAGATCCAGCGCCTCCAAAGTCCCTGTTTGCCGTAAATAAAACGCAGACGTCCGTCACTCTGCTGTGGGTGGAAGAGGGATTTTCTGATTATTTTGAAGTTTTCTGCCGGTGCTCTGACTTGGTACAGAGTGAATATGACAAGGTGACACAATCACTTTACAAGAAAAGTCTGAGCTTACGTATAATTTTTACGGTTGGAAACTATGGATTCAGAACTTCCATTCTGAAAATTTGGAAATTTGGATTGGAAAGTATGGATTCAGGAATTCTATTCTGAAAATAAAGTCATTAGCTTAAATATCCACAGGCATAATATAAGATGTGTCTATTCTCTAATCATGTCTGCAGGTACCAGGAAACTAGGCATGATTGGCTGAATGATCAAAGTAAACAGGAACTGACCAGGTCATCAAGTCAGCACCACGTCTAGCCTTTCCTGCCCCTCCTTTCTTCATGTGCTTAAAACTGAACATTTGGAGGATCCCAACTTGCAAGTTTTATCATAAATCTGCAAAAAATATTCAGGCAGTTGGGGTGACTGATATCTAATGTCTATGGCAGTCTCAACATATCAACAGATCTGTTGAAGGGACCCACTGGGTTTGATCAACTGGTTAAGAAATCAGGAGGTGTTAGGTGAAATGGTAAATTAAATAAGGTTTAGAAATGTCAGATATTAATGTGAATACCTTTAATCTTTATGGATTTCTCCTGCATGATAATAGATCAAGAAAATATACACGGTTTGCTTATGATTACTAGTCCACTATCAGATCACTTTGCTCCTGGTGCTCTGAACTGTATGGCGTGTTCGCTGAACCATAACTACCAATATGTCCCTGCAATGCTTCCTTCTTTCCATGTGCTAACTGTAGCTGTCAGCACTTTGCCCAATTGATTTTTTAGCACTGGGCATCCCTATTTGACCTACTTTTATGTTTCTAAACCTTGAATTTTAAAATGAATACACAGTACCATATGGTTCCTTTTTGGGAGATTTTCACTCTCCATTTGTTATGTGTATCATTATCATCTGAAGTGAAAGTAAAAGAAAATACCAATTTTTGGGTTGTCCCCAAAATAGTAATAGAATGGAAATTTTCCAATGCACACACTAGTTCTGGTGACCCTGGTGACAACCAGGGATTCTGTTATTTTGGATGGATTTCCTTTCACTTCCTGTTTTGGCTGTGGGACAGAAAATGAAAGGAAATCTCTCCAATGGGACACAGAAGGCAAAAAAAAAAAACCTGACAGGGGTTATAACCCACCTTTGCTCTATCCAAACTGAGAAAAAAAATGTAGCAGTTGGTTCTACTTTAGCTCATCCCAGAGAAATAATCCACTTAATACAAGATTTAACCCAAAGCAACACAGTGAAGGTTAGGTTTTACCTAAACTAATATTACAGGCAGTTTGAAATCACCATGTTGGAATTAAGTTTAAGTGATTGGAGGTAATTTAATCCACTGTAGTGTAGTTGGAATAAACTATAATAGGCACTTTGCAATTATCCAGAAGCCAGAGCTTCTTCCCTCTGTGAGGAGAAATGGCACTCACCAGAAAAAATGGAAAGAAATGTATGTATGTATGCAGGGGCGGACTGACAACTCATGGGGCCCCCGGCAATAGGGGATCATGGGGCCCCTGTGCCCTTGCCCAAATTTAAAAAAGCCTATGAAAAAAGTACCAGGGGCATCTCATGGGGTCCCCTACTGACCCCGGCCCTCGGGCAGTGCCCGAGTTTCCAAATGGTCAGTCTACCCCTGTATGTATGTATGTATGTATTTAGTTATTTATTTAAAGTGGTTTTAAAAGCTAAAGGTTTTTGCAATCTGCAGTAAGGTAAACTACTTTCCATGATCAGCTTCCCTCCTCCCCCCACCAAATACTCACCTAAGCCTGATCACATTCTAGCACTGTGCCCATCTACAGCTGTGCTGCTCTCTCCCCCTCTCCTCACATGACTCAGAGGCAGCAGCAGGAACCATTGACTCCTGCTGCTGTCAATAAAATCCTGTGAGGAGTTAGAAAGGGGGCAGGGCCAAGCCTTGCTGTGTGTGGCAATAGAAACACATGCACATTTCTTAGTCCTCATGCATGCCCCCATAGGAAACGGCTTGCTATGGGGCACTCAAAAAGGAGGAGGAGGAGACAGCACCAGCAGGGGACCCCAGAAGAGGGGGTTTAGAGCTGCTCTGTGCAAAACCATTGCACAGAGCAGGTAAGTATAATATCTTTATTATTTAATAGAAGTACGTACTCCTTACTCCTTTACATGCACTTTAATATCCGAACGTATATATGTACAGTATATCCAAATGAAAATGCTTTCTTTCATGAGAACTACATTTTGCTAAATAGATGAGGGTGAAGGGAGGTTATGTCACCCATAGAAATAAGAACAGCTTTGCTAAGCGCTTGTAGCTGCAAAGCTGCCTGGAGGCACAATTTAAACAGTCCACCAATCTGACTTTCCAAACGGATTACCACAACTGGTCATGGTGCCTTAGTGATTGGTTGAGGGTCTACCATAACCTAAAGGTTTTCCATGGTAACATTGTTAAGATTGGTCTTATCCCATGGATTTATTGATAGTGTTGGGCTTGTCCCATGAATAAATTGTTAGGATCATCATCTAACTATATTGTTAGGGTTACATTAAAGATTGGGCTATACCACAGTGTTGTATTCTTAGAGTTGGAGTAAGCTTCTGGTTAATTATTAAAGTTAGGATTATATTGTTAGGGTTGGCATCATACCTACAATTATGTTGTTAGGGTTGCAGTTTTCCCATGATAATATTGTTGGGGTTGAGGTTTTCAGATATATTCTTAGGGATAGGGTTACATAATGGTTATATTGGAGTTGGTTTATATACCATGGGTATATTTTTAGGATTGGGGAAATCCCATGATTATCCCATAGTTATATTTTTGGGGTTGAGGTTAGCCCATTGTTATATTGTTAGGGTTAGGGCTATCCCTTGATTATAATGTTAGCCTTGAGGTTATATACGTAGGTTTGAGGTTACCCCATGGTTATATTTTTTAGCATTAGGGTTATCCCATGGTTATATACATAGGGTTAGGTGGTTTCCTGTGGTTATTTTGTTTGGATTGGGGTTGTCTCATGGTTATTTACTTAGAATAGGGATTATCCCATGGTTTTATTGTTTAGGTTATCTGGCAGTTATATTCATAGGGTTGGGGCCATCCCATGTTTGTTAGGATTATCTTACATATGCATACATATATACTGTACATATGGTTGGGGTTATCCTATGGTTATATTGTTAAGGTTAGCGTTATCTCACGGTCATATACAGGGGTTGGACAAAAATATGTAAACGCTACATGATTTGCAGGTGTGAAAGTGACAATATGTTTCACGTTGAAAGCAGAAGTGATGTAACATTCTTTTACTTCCGCTGTGTGATGAGACACCTAAGTAAAAGGTGGGAAGCTTCACTTTCATCATTCACTGCATGCACCGCTAGTAATACGGAGTCATGTCATGGCTTACTAAGTTTCAAATAGGGCCGATTGTTGGTGCCCGTTTAGCTGGTGCCTCTGTGACTGAAGTTGCCAACTTATTTGCAATGTCGCTAGGTACAGTATCAAACGTTTTGATGGCATATACAGTTTCTGAGAAAACGACATCTGATAAACATAAATGCGGTCGACATGGTCAGCTGACCGAAAGAGACAAAAATACATTGAGCAGGATTGTGACCCGGATTTTTGTTTTGCATAAAGAGTGGTATCAGATTCCATTATCCACCATCCAAGAAGAATTCAGGCCATCTTGGATGCCAAAAGAGGTACAACACCATATTAAGTAACGATTGTGTCTTTTTCCATGTTTGTTTCTATAATTTTGTCCATCCCCTGTACCTAGGGTCAAGGTTATCGTATGATTATATCGTTAGGGTTACCTTATGATTATATTGGTATGGTAGGGTTTTCCAATGGTTATATTGTTATCATTAGAGTTTTTTCTCAGTTAAATGCATAGCGTTGAGGTTATCTCATGGTTGTATTGTTAGAGTTAGTGTCATCCTATGATTATACTGTTAGGATTGGTGTTATCCTATGGTTCTTCTCTTAGAGTTCAGGTAATCCAATAGTTGTATTAATAGAGGTTGGGTCACCTATGGTAATATTGTTAGATTTGTATTTATACCATGATCATGTTTTTAGGACTGGGGTTATCCCACTTCATCGGGTTTGGGATCTTTCATGGCTATAATACCAGGGTTGGGTTTATTTCCTGGTTATAGTTAGGGTCAGGATCATCTCATGGTTAGAGTCTGGGGTTACCCTACTGTCGTTTGCCTTCCTTGTTCACATGCTGTCCCTGTGCCAGAGTTTCTCAGCTAGTGTCCTGCCTGATGGAAGGGGCTGCTCCTATTGAAAGTTATTCTGTTCCAGCCTCTGGCACCCGAGTAAAATGTACTGTGTGTTTCTCTGCTGCCTTCAGCAACTCCACTGTCTTCCTGTTCTTTGCCATTGGCCTGATTTTCTGTGTACTGACCTCAGCTTTCACTCAAGGATTCGCTTTTCTGCCATCTGCTCTGACTCTTGGCCTGTTTCCAGATCATCTACATCTTCACTGTCTGCTTCTGCTTTTGCTTGTACTCCAAATACTCTTCCACATCTGTCATCCAGCTTGTATGGATTAGTCTTCATGTGTTAGAACAGGGTGAACCTAGGGGCCCTGATCTGGCATCAGCACACAGCAAAATCCATTTTGGTGAAAACCAGCTGGTGCTTTCACTTCATGCTAGGAAGATTCCATGCCATTTCCTTGCACATAAGCTCACAGACAAATGACAGGGCTTGGGCTATGAACTCATCCAAAAAACAAATGCAGAAGATGGTGCAGAGGTTAAGTTCTTAACAGGCCAACCTAGACTGCATTAAGTCATTTTTGTAGACGTTTTCCACCTGCCTGGACTAACTGAAAGCCACAGATACCATGGTTCCCTCCACTTCTGCTCCAGCTTCAGCCGCTGCCTCTTTCAGCCAGTGCATCCCCTCATTGTCCTCCTCCAACAGCTATCTCTGGCAGTCCTAAGGTATGTGGGGGCTTTGTTAATCATTGTTCCTTTCATTTTGAACTTTAAAGTCATCATTTCTCAAATGATCACTCCAAGGTGTCATCTGGCTGTCTAGTTCCAATTTTCCAAGAAGATTCTTGAGTTTCCTCTTTCTTCTTCTGTAAATACAGCAACAGAGGAACCAATGCAATTAGGCCATACCTGCCTAATGCCAGAAGAGCACTCTGAGTGTCTCAACCAGGGTTTATGCCTTTACTAGTGGGGGTGGCACTGGTCACGTGTTTAAAACCTGCTCTAATTTACCCAGGAAACTCAAGCCAACTGTTCTTCAGGGGAGATAAACTTTATATTCCCATTCTACCAGTTTTCCTCATCTAACATTGCCTGTTTCTATCTGCTGGGTTCAGAACACCTATAAACTCTCTGTATATGTGAACTACAACTAACTGGGAACTTCATCGAACAATCCTTGACCTCTGGAAATCTCTTCCATGGACTCAACTTGCCTCTCAGCAAATACCTGGGAGTGTCTACTTTCCAAAAATGGCCATTTGGAGGGTGTTTAAAACTGACCTGGCATTTTATGCCCAACATTAAAAGTTTTCTCCTACTGTTGAGCATACATGTAATGTTTTTTTTTGTGCAGCCTGTGGGCTGAATGATAAAAAGAACAGATTCCTTCATTCACAATGATTGATGTGGATGAAGAATTCTTGGCCAGAAAAAAGTATATTCCAAAGCATAGGAGCTACTACTCACTGACTACCACACACTCCTAATGCTGGGCATACATGAACGAAAAAAAGAACCTAACAAATTCCTCCATTCACATCGATCGATATGGATGAAGAAATCTGAGCCAGAGAAAGTATATCCCAAAGCGTAGGAGTTACCACCCACTGACCACCCCACGCTCATAAATGTTTGGGCATACGAAAAAAAAGATCCTCCATTCACATTAATCGATGTGGATAAAGAAATATCTGCCAGAAAAAGTGTGTGGTATTCCCACCATTATAATCTTTTGGCACTCTTCTAATGGTTTTCATTCAGCCCATTTATCTTATGGTGATAAAGTGTTCAGTGTTATGAAAGTGGACTTGATAGTTGTTTACATTATTCCAACATATTTCCATTTATATTCTCATATATATAATATTTCACCGCACCTTGATATCAACATCCTTCTGCCTCTGCTTCTCTTGGCAGGATGCTGTGATGGTTTCCTCCCATGTGGTAACAATATCCAATCTACATCCTGGCACATCTTACAACTGCAGCATTACCAGTGTCAGCCATCACAGTGCCAGTGTGCCCACCTTCATTACCGTTTCTACACTGGGTAAGCTTTCTGCATGTTAATCATCTTTTAGGATAAGACACGTAATCTTTTCTTTGTATTTAAAAATGACATGTGATATTACTGGGAGCCATTAAAGGTTGCCATGCACTGGTGGCAAGTTTACTGGCATTAATGGTTTTCTTTTAATTGCTCAAATGAAATATATTGGCTTTATTCCTTGAGATTAAAGTTGTGTTTCCATTTGTTCTAATATCTCCACTTCAGCATTTTCTTCCTCATTCTGCCATTATCTTGGTTATAGAAAATATGAGTTAGAGTCCATGCACACTGGGCTTAAAAAAATAATTGCTTCTGCTGGAGTTTTGTGTTTTGCCTTTAGCAGCAGCTCAATGTTATCCTACGTGTCCATTCACATTAGGACATTTAGAGGCATATTTTAAGCTCAGGGTTTATAGGCAGGAAAAAACCCTTTTGGTTTGCATTTTTGAGAGGAGTTTTCTGGCAGAAAAAAATGCTAAATGCTCCTAAACGCTTGTATAAAAATGCTGTATATGAGCATTTTTTTCTGCCAAAGGAACTGGCCTTTTCTTAAGCCCGGTGTGCATATACATTTTCCAGCCCATCTTCATTCACCCAGCTGCTCGTTTGTTGAGGAATGCAGGCTGAAGAAGGGAACACAAAGCCATAGGAGAGCCTATAGGGAATAATGAGATTATCTGTACCAGAAAACCAAATCAACTATCTGTCTTCCCCCAGTAAGGTCCATACTGGTCATTCTGCAATAGTGGTGCAAATCTGCCATTGCACTGTGATGGTCCATATCTGTCATTTGACAGCGATGATCCATATCTGTCACACCCTAATGATGGTCCATATCTGTCTCTCCATAATAATAATTTATATCTGTCATTTCCTAACCACAGTCTGTATATGTAATTCCCTAATGATGGTTCACATCTGTCATTCCATAATGATGGTGCATATCTTTCATTCCTCAATGATGGTCAGTGTCTGTCATTTGCCAATGACAGTGCATATTTGTCATTAATTAATTATAGCACATAACTATCTCTCCCTAATGACGGTCCATATCTGTCATTCCCCAATGATGGTGCATATCTGTTGTTCCCCAGTGATGGCTCATATCTGTCATTCCACAAAGACAGTCCATATATGTCATTCTGCAGTGAAGGTGTATATCCACACCATAGTTTACCATTGATGGCACATAGCTGTAATTTCTCAATGATAGTGTATGGCTGTCGTTCACCAAAATTGTTCATGACCTTTTTCAAAGTATTGTTGCATATTAGCTAGTGCTAGTGATAAGAGTTATGCTGCTTACAGACATTAGATGATGGCCCGCCATTTAAGGTCAATCTGGGAAATTTTCTAGTTTGCAGATTTGTGCCTATTGAGGAAGGAGAGGGACTGTATTGTGTGAAACACCATTTGAGCAGGAAAATCAATGCCAGCCAGTAAGTCTACCCCCAAGCAGATGTAGCCATGGAATATTAGTGAAGATCATAAGGGGAACAACATTTAAGGTTTCCTTGATCCAATTATATACAAGTTATTTTGGTAAATGTTCTGTTATGTCTGTAGGTACCTTTAGTGTTTCACATATTTAGTCTTATTATTACACCTCGAGGTGGATTTACTGAAGGCAAAAAGACTGTGCACTTTGCAAGTGAATTTGCACTTATTTAATCCAGAGCTTAGTGAATGTGGTGGAGCTCTGATGATTTCCATTATTCAATCATGTGCAAGCAGAAATACTGTTTTGTTTTATTTTCAATACACTTGATTGGGTATTCTTTACAAAGTGAAGCTTCACTGCATTAGGCTCTGAGAAAAATCAGTGCAACTGCACTTCCAAATTGCACAGTCTGTTTGCCTTTAGTAAATCCACCCTACAGTGTTCTTGTTTACTAGATTTTTCTCTGGACTTTTGTTTTTTCCACAGAAATTTTGCAGTAAAATCTCTCTTCTGCCTTCTAGTTGCTGAGATGAACCCAAATGTTGTGGTGATTTCTTTGCTGGCCGTGCTGAGCATTCTACTGATCGGACTCTTGCTAGCCACTCTAGTAGTCCTACGGCGGAAACACCTCCAAATGTCACGGTAACAAAAAAGTTGGAGAGTTTGACATGGGGATGTATATACTATATAGTAGTGAGTGTAGTTAGTGTAGAAGGTGAATATATATAAGTGTGATAAGATAGGAAGAAAGATGGTCTACAGTAAGGGGTTCTCTGCTTACTGGAGGGCATGTTGGGAGGTCTGGGATGCAACTGCATATTATAAATAGGAGTATGTATATATTGTATGTGTGTTTATATAGTGGTGGGCCTAATTGGACAGGAAAAGAGGTGATCTGGAGTAGTGTTACCCACCTACTAGAGGTCTCTGTTGAAAAGTCTGTTGGGAAGTTTCTCCTTCTGTCATCAATGCCTGCTCACGGTGCATGTTTTTCCAACTACCTGGCTCTACCATCTTCTGAATTAATAAGCAACCCAGATAGAAGAACACCAATCATCTCATCTGTAATTTTGTGAAGACAGAACTGTTAGGGGCCCTTGAGGAGCAGAGTTGATATTTACAAGCCTGTGTAGTAAAAACATTTCACTTTGTTTCTCCAGGGAGTGCGGAGCAGGAACTTTTGTCAATTTTGCCACTCTAGAGAGAGAGAGACGGAAAGCTCCCATATAACTGGTGAGTGTCCATTCCCTTTCGCTGATCTATATATCTGACACCAAAATGACAATGTCCTAAGTATTCATGCTTGCGTTTTCCTGTATGTAAAAATTTGAGGATCTGTATATCACGTCAAGATGATGCATTCAAAACAGAAGTCCCATTCATTTGTGTTTGTGGCTTGTTCACATCTATGTGCTGCAGCTTAGCTCAATAAAAAAAAAAACAGGATATGCTGCATTTGTGTGTTTATGTGCATAATAAAAACTCAAGGAAATTAATGATTAAGGCAGCAAAAGCATGTATCATGTAATTTGTATATTTTAAATACACTAGCAGCATGGAAACCCCCTCTTCTGAATGTTTCTCCCTCAATCTGCATAATGCATGAACTAAACAAGAGTGGTAAAAAAAGCACAAAAATTAATCTAAATGCATGCCAAAAACTCATGTTTCTGCATCCGCATAGGTGTGACAGTTCCTTATAGTCCTTGTACTGTGGCAGACGCTTTCTCTAACCTCCATTTCTCTGTCCCTGCATATTAATGCTCCCAGGCGTCGAAGCATTTTTGCTTTCCTAACCCTCCTGCCCTCGTGTCTGTGGACTGACTACCTCTTGGCTTTTTATATTAATCCATGGTAAGTCCTTTCCATTCTTCTGCTAATTTCAATTCTGTATATCCACCAGTTTCACAGTATACATACAGTATATACCAAAGTCAGCACTAACCTTTAGGGTATTCTCCAGAGAAGATAAGGGCTTGCTTCCTTTTGTAGAAATATCATATGGTAATTTTTTACTATCTCACTTAGCTGACTAGATTTGGGTACTTGGACTGTCATGTCCTTTAATTGACCAATATGACTGCTTCTATTGAATGGCAAAAGTCATGGAATTACATAGCCTTAAAGTAGCTTAAGAAGGCTGTGTCATGTGATGATTTCACATCTTTTAGTAGCAGGACACTGATGGCTGGCCGCTATAAAAATCAAACTACTAATGATCCCACTGATAAGCTGTCTTTGGCTGCTTTCTGTCCCTCCTGTCTCTACAGAAATAACATTTTTAAGGTTTGTGGAGCCTGGTGACAACTTTAAGAAGTTCTCTGTTGCATCATGACTACATGTCTGACTGCCCTGTAAATTATCTTGGCAGCTTCTGGGTTAGCTGTGTGCTTACCTTGCACTCATAAATGCATAAAGTTAAATATTTTAATTATTATTTTTATTTACTGTGGCTTTGATGAGTTCAATGCTTATATTTTAGTCTCTGATAACACTGAGTGAATGGATAGTGCAATCTACATAAAATATGTATGAAACCAACCTAGACCCATAATACCACTCTTACCCCTAACACTGAAGCAACTATATTGCACTTCGCCTTCTGGCAGGCTCCACGCACTTTCCCTAAAGAGATTTCTATGTTTTTTTCCCCATAGCGTTACCCGAATATTTTACCAGAGAAGTAGTGACGTTTGTCTGGAGTCGCAGTTTCCAGTTAGGTTAGTTGCTGACTGTAATGGCCAGTCATCTCAGCATTCTGCCCCACAATCACATGCCAGCTGAATGTTGACATGTTAAAGAAAGTATTTTTGTATGGTACGCCACACTTAATTTAATGTTGGTATTTATTGTTGAAACTAAATGATACAATTAAATATATTGGGCTTATCTGGAATGCAAGAGAGATTGCTTCCTATTCCTCCAGGGTTTAGAAATGTATGAATCTCTCTTTCATTTTTCTAATCACGTACAGAGGAAATGCTTTCTTTCTGCGTCACCTTCAATGTTTCATTGCTTAACCGCTCACTCAGAATGCTCTATTGCCTCTGTAAACAGTCAACAGTATCCTCAGCTGTCACTGTCCCTAGCCCTCAGTATGCTCAACTGCTACTGTCCGCAACCAACAACATCCTCAAATATTACTGTTCCAAATCTTCATTGTCCTTAGCTGCCACTGTCTCAACCCTCTGTATGTTCAACTTCTACTGTCCTCAACCAAAAGTATTCCCAACTGCTACTTTTCTTAATCTTCAGTATGATCAACCGCCACTTCTCTCTCCAACTATCACTACCCTCAAATGCCTCTGTACACAAGCCTCAGTACCCTCAGTTGCCTTTGTTCACAGTTCTCTGTAATCTCATCTACCACTGTTTCAAACCCTCTTTACCCTCGGTTGTCCTTCCCCAACCTTCAGTCCCATCAGCTGCCACTGTACTCAACTCTCTGTAACTTAAGATGTCCTATATCTAATCCTCAATATATGGTATGATAATGCAAGTCCAGAGATGGGCAGCAAAAATGGTGAAGGTTTGAGGGATAAAACAAATGGGGAGAGACTTCAGGAATTTAGTATGTACAGTCTGGAGGAAAGAAGAAAAAGGGGAGACATTAGAATGTTTAAATACATCAAGGGGGTGAATAAGGTTCAGAAGGGAAGAATTATCAATATGAAGCTAGGATTAAAAACACACAGGGACATGACCTTAAACAAGCAGAAGGAAAGTTCAAAACTAATCTTATAAAGTATTATTTTACTGAAACAGTCGTTGATGCTTGGAATAGACTTCCAGTAGAAGTAGTGAGTCAACCAACATTAAAGGATAAGTTCACCCTTTGGACAAAAATAACAAATTAACGTTTTTTTTTTGCAGGTAAGAAGGAGCATCTAAAGCATTGCACCAGCGATCAGTAGATCGCTGATGCCATGCAGGTGTCCTGCAGACCTGTTAGAATACCTGCTTGCCACACAGGATGTATGGTCAAGCAGATATTCTGACAGGAAGTTTGAATGAACTACCACGGCGTTCCACAGTGCCGTGGGTAGTTCATTTAAAATTACAAGCTGTCAGCCGCTAAGGCTGCGGGGACTTGTAGGCACTCATTCACAGGACTCTGTGTGACTCTGTGTGACATGGCCACATGGACGGAGCCCCACACGACCACACTGTTTACAAATCTGACAGATAGTAGGGGGAGCTATGGGAACATGTTACATGTTCCACCCTAAAAATGGGTGGAACATGTAACATGTTCCCAAAGGTGAACTTATCCTTTAAGTGGATTCATACATGAATGGGACAAACATAAAATATATATATATATATATATATATATATATATATATATATATATATATATATATATACAGTTTAAATCCAAAACTGGGTTAGAGGCACTCATGGTATATATAGTATATAGACATATGTATGTATATATATATATATATATATATATATATATATATATATATATATATATATATACATATGTACAGTACGTGTTAGTTTTAGTTGATTATTGTTAGCGATTTACAAAAATGCAAAGTGACCAAAGAGAAGAAGACAAATCTGAATCAAATAAATATTTGGTGTGACTACATTTTGGCTTCAAACCAGCATCAATTTTATACTTTTATACTTGCACACTTTGTACATTTCCACAAAGTCAGGGATTTTGTTGGATTACAGTCGGGTGTATGATTAACCAAGTATATCAAGCAGGTACGAATGATCAACATTTTCATATGTAGGTTAAAATACAGTCATTGACAGAAACAGCTGTGTAGGAGGCTTAAAACTGGTTGAGGAACAGCCAAGCTCTGCTACTAAGGTGAGGTTGTGGAAAACAGCGTGAGGTTGTGGTAAGACTGAGCACAGCAATAAGACAAGGTAGTTATACTGCATTAGCAATGTCTCTTCTAGGCAAAGATTTCCAAGCAGACTGAGATTTCAAGATATGCTGCTTTGAAGAAGCACAAAAAAGATGCAGTGGCCAAGGAAACCTAATGCAGCAAATAAAAGACACATCATGCTTTCTTCCCTTCGACATCAGAAAATGTCCAGCAGTGCCCTCAGCACAGTACCGGGGGAAACCAGTGAGACCCAGGTGTGACAAACGTGATGCAACCGCTGTCTGCTTGTGGCGCAAAACTGGTCAACCTCACACTGCACTGTCATTTACGCAACAATGCCACTCTCAGCCCCACAGTGCACAAAGATTTTCCATCTCGTGGGACCACAATTTATAGGACAGACAGTAGTTAGCTATTTCAGTGAGCATGGTAGGCCTGTAAAAGTTGTGCACAACCATGCTCTGGTCTTAGTGATCCCTAGATGCCCTGCTAGGGGAATTTCCTGAGCCACTTTCAGCAACTGTTGCCTGAATTTACTAAGTACAACAAGCTGTCTCCTACCTATGTCAGTCTCGTTCCCCTCTGTGGGCAAATCCTCCCTGTACAGCTTCCTTTGGTCCTAGTAAAACTTTTGTTTGTCATTCTCTGCAGGGGCGATCAGCTAGACTCTTGAACTCTTGAGCCAGATATTAAACCCACATCTGTACGCAGTACCTTGGGAGATACAGAGGGCTTCATGGGTGTGTCCTCAGCAGGTGCATAATATGAGACAAGGGTCTCTAAATCAGCAGCCAACAACATAGCTGTGGGGATCTCCTCAGAGACTCCCACCTCCGACACCCCAATCAATGAATACATATGCACAGGGTATGTGGGATCGGGTCCCCCCAACTCCGGTGAGGATAAGAAACTTCTCTGGGATGATGTTATGGTCTATTGCCTGTGATGACTGACTGCAAGTTGGTGTTAGTTCCCCGGGGCTTCCCACTGACAAACAGCACAGACGATGGGTTGCTGGCTGGTTGGACAGATGATGTTGTCTTCTTCTGCTCAGGGCACTGCATCCTGAGATGTTAAGGTTTTTCCCACAGGTGTAACATCTGTGGTTGTCAGTTAAGGTTGGCTTGGCACCAGGTACTACAGGTGCTGGCTGCTGAGGAACTTGGCTTTGCAGGTGTAGATGGGGTTTCCCTTCTTTCCAGCCATTCTGAGGAGCCTGTTCTAATGGTCAGATACCCGAGTGTTAATATAGGTATCTGCCAGTTCGGCTGCTGATTTAGCTGATGTTGGTCCTCTCCCCAACAAAATTGTGGAATGTCTACAGGACAGATGTGTAGGAGCTGATCTCGGACCATGAGATCCTCCAGAGACTCGACGGAATCTGCTTTCAAGCCTCTGGTCCACTCCCAGATTGTGGTGTGTCGACAACTTACTACATCTGTGTACAAGTCCCCAGGCCCTTTTTGCAAGGACTTAAATCGCTTCCGTACACTTCCGGGGTTAACCGATACTTTCAGGCGATTGGGTCCTTTATGGCCTCATAATCGTCATCCTGCTCTGCTGGCGATTCCACATAGGCATCCAGGGCCTTGCCTCACAGCCCTGGCATCACGTAAGGAGCCCATTGTTCTTGAGGCAGATGGTACTGATGACAGGTTTATTCAAATGACAGAAGATACATCTATGTCACTGTTCTTTTCCATTACTGAAAATTTTGTGGCCTGGCTAATGGGCAGAGCATTTTCCCTGTGGTCTAGGGATCCAAGGTTCTGAGCTTGTCACTGCTGCTGGAGCCTAGCCATCTCCAATTCGTGTAAACGATCAGCCTCCATCTCAGCTCAGCATTTCACAGCCTCTCTCTCAGCATGCTCAGGCTGTTGCTTCTCCAGTGTCAGTCTCTGTTTGCCCATCCTGCGAGGCCGTTTCTGAACCACTGGGCTCCGAGGTAGCAGGAACCCCTTCCTTTCCAGGTTCCCGTTACCCTGGGATATCATCCTCCTGTAGGGCATGAATCAAGTTTTTCTCGCATTTGCCAAGGGATATCAGTTCTTCTTGTTTCACACTCAGCACACAGATAATCTTTGCTCATTTTCTTATAATCTGCCAAAACCAGGCATGTATGCAAAAAGAAAATATAGAGCATAGGAAGGGGATAGGGATCAAGGATAGGGAAGAATCAAGTTTTCTCGCATTTAGAAAACAAAAATGTTCATTGGCTGTCTTAAGGGATTGTTTCACACTCAGCACAGTGCAGATAAATCTTGAGTGCTCATTACCCCACTTCTTATAATCAGACCACTGCCAAACCAGGACATTATGGTCAACCTCAAAAAGCTGTCAAAATATATGCAGCATTCGCAGGAGCTTGCGGGGGACAATAGGTGATAGGAGAGGGATTGTCAGGATTTAGTTTACTAAGCAATTAACACTGTTAAGCTCCAAATCCGCCTAATGTTAGGATCCGCAGACATCACTGGCAAGGAACAATATTGAGCTGATCTCAAAATGACCTATCTGTTTGGTTCTACATAAGGATACGTTTCCACAAAAATGTGCTATTGTTACAAAGTTAAACATGTCAACTACGTCTGCAGAGCTAATTCCTAATGCTGCACTGAGTGCTCTAAGCAGAACTACCCCACTACGCTTACAGCCAATATGTCACGAATGCAATGGCAGACCATTTTTTTTCCTTTTCACAAATTAATTTTCCAATTAATTTATTTTTTTATCAACGTTGATTTATACTTATCTTAATTTATATTCAAATTACTCTAAATTTTGACAAAAATACCAATTTATTATTTCATTTTTTATATAAATACCTACATTCAATTAAATCCTTTCTTATCCTTTACCAAATATCT